TGATCGGGGGTGAAAGAGGCCAGGCATCGACATCATACATATATATATATAGAGTCAACGGGGCAACTATTATATACCTGGCACGAGAAGTCGACAATACAAAAAATTAAAGAACACATAGATTTACGTGGTTTACTAACACTATACGTGTAATTAAATCAATTCACGGGCAGGAGAGACAAGTTTCCCTATACTTACGCAGATACAAACTCGAGATTGAGGTATATATAGCACTTTCAGCTGCCTGCAGATAGTCTAATAATCCTGATATACAACCCGAAAAGGAGAAGGTTAGAGAAGAAATGAAAAGGTATATACAGCGTCCGGTCGACGAAAGATAATCCGACCTCTAACTGATAGCAACTATAACACTCATATTATGGGTTTGGGTGCGTATGTACGTATTAGGGTTGAACACAATTTCCGCTAACTAACGATATAATACCATGTGATGAATGAAGTGCCATTTTTGACAGCTCCAACAGTGGGAAAGAAGTTTTTGATGATAATGGATAGGGTGGTGATGATGCAAATTAAAGAGAGCAAGTAGAAGAGGCAAATTGGAGAAGGAAGAAAGGTGGTGGGTGGCACCAAAAACATGCAATGTAGTAGTAGTAGTGATGGAGGAGTTTGGACTGTTCCAAACTTAACCGCCAGTGGCCATCGACAGAGAGAGAGAGGAATTTCTGGCAGAATGGTAAGGAAGGAAGGAAGCACGCGTGATGAAAGCCCCGATCGAGAGTACTGAAGAAAAGCCTCTTCTCCTTTAATCCTTGTCCCCCTTCTCTCTCTCTCTCTTACATGGATATGCTTTTGATGCTCTCTCTCTCTATCTTTTGTGGGGTTTTTGGCCATATTCCAAACTTCAATTCAGTGGGGAGGAGCATGCATGTGTATTTAGCAAATCCATGTGTATGCATGTATCACCATCGTATGCCAAGAGGAGGTGAAGATGGCTCGAGTGATAATATATGACACAGAGGGACCATTCTGGTAAAATCGTATTAGAAGTTGTTCAAATTGTTTTATATTGTTAAATATTTGTCTATTGATTTAGATTTCGGAAGGAGATTTTTTTTTCAGGCGGATATCGTCAGTACGATACGATTTTACAAACACTATTGATTCTATCAGGTTTAATATTTATAACCTATCATTTGACAGTTTAACTTATTGACGATTATTGCGGCATAGCTGCATATATATATATATATATAGACCTTGAATTAGCAGGATTTTTGAGCATGACTATACCCTAACCCTTAATAAGTGAACCCTAGGTCCTAATTATCTAAATCATAAACTATAAATCCTAAGATGATGCATTTTTTGGCCTATATTTGAACGAATCATAACCGTCGATTATTATTTTTAATTAAATTGATCTTGAGGTATAAAATTAAGAGAGTTAAGACCTAGGTTTTGATATTTAAAGGTAAGAGTATAGTATCATGTCCGAAACATCAGTCAATTCAAGTTTTGGATAACGTTTTCTTACTCAATATATGTGATACCCCGGATTTCACTCTGGATACCGTAGAACTCCCCATATATATAAGTTAGAGCTGGCCATTAACTACTACAAGTTCGTCCCTAAAGAGGGAAACGACGACAGCCACAGAACAAACCTTGGCCTACTCGTTTCACTTCCAGTCCCCTCTCCCTTTTCTCTTTTTTTGCCAATCGATCGCTTCTTCTTTCCGCTTGTTGGTGTTATGTTTTGGAATTGTAGGGTAGCTACTAATTAATCACGTCTTCTCCATCGTGTTAATTGTCTCATCTTATCTTGAATAGTTAATTAACTAGCAAGACAAGGATCATATATGATGTTTAATAATGCTTTACAAAACAAATAGTAAAGCGATAGTCGGTTTAGGAAAAAAAATAGTTTCTTTTTTATTAGCTATACGTGGATTTTAATTACTGAATAAATAGGGTAAATTACGATTCGCATTTAATTGTTGTATTAAGGATATTGGAGTATACTAAACAAGACATTGATATCCTTCTACCAATAATCAAGATGAGTCATTTGATTTTGATGCGATGGGAAGGATCGAATAGAGTGTTTAACACTACTCTAGAGAAAAAAAAAGGTTAAGCTAGTGTACGTTGGGTATATTTTAGTTTTTAATCATAAAAGAATAAGTGATTTTGGTGGAACGATATGTAAATATGAAGACGTTATGCTAGCACAAAATAATTATCACTTTAAAAGTAAAATTATGAGATCTGTTTATTTTTTCCTCATTAATACAAGTGTGTTGACCACCGAAACCGTGTTTCGGGGTTAACAAGCAGTCACATCAGGCAATTAGGTGTCACGTGGACGTCCGTGATAATATACGTATTCAAATATGTGAACTCTCTCATGCGACTCTAACATCTTTGCCTCTTTTTTTTTATCGAGACATCTGATATCTGAACGTGCATATATCAAGAATATTAACAATTATTTAGTGCGTATCACAAACACGATATATATTCCCCATGAATCTTATCTTCCTACTACCATATTTGACGTAGCCAAAGCTATTTTTGCATGTACTAGAGATAATCAAGAGATTAAGCAAGACCCAAAAAGTGATTATGTAACCATGGACTTTTTCACTTTAAAGATCCAATTGGGACCAACATAGCTGCAATATTTGTACGCAGGTGGATTGGATACATATTTATCCAACCGCACTAAGATTCCAGCTCCAAAGGGGTCGGGTCGGGTCAAATTTGAGCTTGAGAGCACTGATACAAATGAAAGCGAAAGATCAGTGAGTGACCGCTGTTTTCCAGCTTTTTTTCTACTACTGATTTCTCTTGTATTGTGGAAAACTGGAAAAAAGTAGGTGTATTTGTGATGTGTGGTCCACCGTCACGTGTATCTGAAAGGGGTTAGTCGGGCTCAGTTTGGGTTGGGGGTCCAAGTCGTGGAGGCGTTCATGGATCCTCTCAATCCTCTGTTTGCAGGTCCAGGCCCACGAGTCCGTTCTGGTGGTGCATGTTGCTGGAGGACCACCTTGTTTAGCCATCTTTGCATAGGCAAAAGAAAAAGGGAAACAGAATCATCCATGATACAAGATACCGTGATATTGGGTTAACGCCAGTGTTATTAAGACCGGACCGAGCCGGCCGGCTGGACCACTAAAGTCGTCACCCGGTCGCAAAACCGGCTCAGGCCAGTCATTTAGCCGCTACGGTTTTATGAAGCTGTCGACGAGCGGCCAAGGCGGTTAACCACTCGAGCCGCTCGAAACGGTTGCTCGGTTTTCCCTTCAAGCCGTTTCTATTTAATAAAAAAATTGAAATAGAAAATAGAAAATTGAAAACCAAAGGCAAAATCGTGGGGCTGGGAAAGAAACCCTAACTATAATCGAGTTTTCATCTTCGACTCTTCGTGAACAAAGGGAGAAGAGCAGTGCCAGACCCTGCCGCCGTCAACACTTCCCGTCGGCATCATCGCCATCCCCAGTCAGCATAGCAGCTCCCAGCTCGCCATCACCAGTCTCCGTCCCCGTCCCCTCTTACAGTAGCAACTCCTCCGCTCTGTCGTCACTTCCCGTCCCGACGCTTCCCGTTGCCATCCCCAATCCATGTAACCGCTCCTAGCTCCCCGCTCGCATGTTTTGAAATTGTTAAGATTTAAGAGTGTAATTTACTAATTTAATCATGGTTTACCATGATTAAGAGGTGTCCACTATTTATATTGATTGTTTATTAGGTACCGGTTGTTAAATGATTTAATGTCGGTTGGACCGCTAAAAACCAAGCCGTTCACATTATCGGGTCATACTCCAGTTCGCTTTTGACAACATTGGTTAACGCTTAACACCTTGAGTATTCACGCTGGCCTTTCGTTTTAAATTGTAAGATGATATGAGATGAATTTTTGCAATTGAAAATTCAATTTCATTTATGTGATCACTAATTGCGTATTTGAAATCACACAACAAATATAATTGAATATGAAAGCCAAAACAATCTAAAAAAGGAGAATGACACATAGCAAAATGACATAAAGAAGGGGGAATGATGGCTTCTGCTATATGTTTATTTAGTTATATTTCTTTTTTTTTGCCCCATCTCGTCCGCAATTGCATTGTAGGGAATTTCTAGTTCTTGACATGGTACCAAAGTATTTTCTGACCAAAATGTCTTTTATTCGAATCTTGGTGACCTATTTGTTAGGCACATGGTATTTTGGACCAGATGTTCGCAAACTTCAACCCATATATGAATGCCTTTCGTTTAGGGTGTGTTAGTATGTTGTATAAAGTTCATTATTGATTATCTCCAAACAACTCGAGTTATTTGGACCAACTGATTCTTAACATAATATTAGAGCCTTATTTTACGGGGAGACCTTCTGTTTGACTCCAAATCATCTTATTAAGGGTTGTTTGCTTCGTGGATTTAAAAAATGAAGGTTTTGGTATAACTTGGATTTTGATAAACCATGCATATATGAGGGTTTTGGCTTCATTATGGATTTGAAAAAAACCGTTGTTTGTTTCATGGATTTCATTATAAATTTTGTTAATTAAATTTGAATGCATGAAGTGAACTTTACCTTTATTGCCCTCAATGATATAAGAAGAGAAAGAAAATATGAGGGGTAGGTTGGTAAAAAATGATGGATTTCAAAGTCCATGATCAATTCCCACCTAAAGAGGTGAGATTTTCAAGTACGTGGGATCCACAGATTTAGACCCTCAAAGTCCACAGGTCCCACGGATTTGGTACCTTTTACGGGTCGTTTGCTTTGTGGATTTGAAAACTTACGGGTCGTTTGCGTCAAGGTTTTGTGATGGATTTGGGCATGGAAACCCATCCATCATGGATTTGCACTAAAAACCATTGTTTGCATTAGGGATTTAGTAAATTGAAATCTGTGGGGCCCACGGACTTTGGAGGTCCAAATCCGTGGGCCCCATGGATTTGGAGGTTCTAGCTATTGAGGTGGGTTTTTATCATGGATTGAAGTCCATAATGTGTAAATACACCTTTGTCCCTGCCATATTTTGTTATTGCCAGCAGTGCCCTTCTGTTTATCCTTTCCGAAATTTTGGCAGATAAAAGAGTGAAGCTTCTGTTTGCGAGCTGCGAGGGAAAATTGCGAGGGGAAAAAACGAAGCGAAGGAAGTCGACTCACAGAGAAACTTCTCCTCCGTCGCTATCTCCGATCTTCTTCTCTGTCGTAATCTTCGATCTTCTCCTCCGTCGCTGCAATCAGGTATGCTTTCTGTCGTTGCTTCTCATCTGTGTCTTTCTTCCCGATGAACCCTAGATCAAAGCTTGGCCGATCTTTTGTGATGTTGTTGGTGTATTGAAGTTTTAATATTCCATCTCTCTATCTCTATCCTCCTTGAACTCCACAACCAGTAGTGTAGAGTGTAGACCCCCAAAACCTTACCATAGATCGACCATTCCTCCTTCCTGCAGCTGCTGTCCGCCATTTCCATTTTCCCCACCGCCCTCCACAGCACTTCACGTAATTGTGCCAGAGTGAGAAAGGCGAGGAAACCCACTTTCCCCATTTCCATTTCCATTTTCCCCACCGCCCTTACCGCCATGGAAACCCACTTCCGCCCCTCCCTCTTTGGTTACTGGGTAGCTCTCTGTTCCTCTCGATCTGAACTCCCCATTTCCATTTCCATTTTCCCCACCGCCCTTACCGCCATGGAAACCCACTTCCGCCCTCCCTCTTTGGTTACTGGGTAGCTCTCTGTTCCTCTCGATCTGAACTCCAAATGGAGCAAGTCCCCTTCTTTTTCTTTTGTCTCTCTGAGCCTATATAGTACCTACTGTTTGCTTATATGCCCCAGAGAAAGAAAGGCGAGGAAAAAAGGAGAAGAATTGGGAATCTTCATTTTGTAACCACATGTTACTTCTTCAGTTTGAGTTGACCATAGATACTCCAAAGCTTGGAGTCCGATTTTTTAAGCAATCCTGGTTTTCAGCATTCTGCAGAGTCAAGCTTTTCTCTAAGCTACTTCAATAATAAGAATATAAGGCCTCCATCTGTATTGTTTGAAGCTGAACCAAACAAAGAAAGCTCCTTTCTGTCTGAGTTTGTAAAGATCAGTAACTTATTGATAGATGCTTCTTGTATGTGAAATTACTTTCTTGTTTGAACTGGAATTTGAAAGCTAACTGTGTGTTATGGTTTGTGGCATAAATGTTGTGGCTCCATTGAGAGTTCTTGATGGATTGCTATGGAAAGTTTCCTGATTGTATGCTGTAATGCTTCTTTTAATGTTAAGGCTATGGCTCGATTGAGAAGAAAATCTAATAAAGTGCAGAAGCGGAACACCGTGAAGGCTATTAGGATTGTTTTAACCTTGTTACTTGTCTACGTATCTTTGCTGATTAGATTTCTTGAGCTATTAGTGATGAAAAAGATAAAATCCAGACCTCGGAACACCCCCTTAGATAGCATATTTGACCGTCAACATGATAGAATGAGATATATGAGACGAGTACTTGATCTATCTGATACTCGTTGCATTAATAGTATTAGGATGAGTCGTAGTATGTTCAAGAGGTTGTGTCAGCTACTCGTCCGTGAAGGGGGGTTAGAACTAGGGCTGGTAATCGGTCGGTATCCGGTATACCGGATACCGAATAGTCGGTATCCGGTATACCGGATAACATTGTGTACCCACCGAATACCGATACCGAATGTTATCCGGTATACCGGATATCGAATAGTCGGTATCCGGTAATAATACCGGTATACCGAATACCGGTTAATGCATTTGAGGTATTTTAAAACAACATATAAGATTTAAAATTTCTTACCAGACAAATTGATCCCTAAAAATTGGAAAAAAAAGCACCCGAGACACTACTCAATCCATCAACGTGTGCTTCCTTCCTGTAAATGGCTTGCAGGGTTCCTTCTTCGCACCACAGCTTTCTGCTTTCCCCTCTTTCTTCTCCATCTTACCTCCATCAGTTACCTTGACACCCGAATCTTCTTTCTGATGAACACCTCTTCCTCCACCGCTCAGCCGCCTCGCAGACCCACTAAACGCAACAAACTTCCCCTGTTCCACCTCTGCCTTCTTGTCCTCTGCCGCAGCAAGCTTCTTTAGCTTCTTGGCCTCCGGCTCAACCGCCTCGTCCATCGAAGCTTCCCCTGTTTGACCCGATAGCCGCCTCGAATTCCCAGTAAAAGCAACAAACTTGGTCTCCTTCGATTCATCCAACAACACTTCCTTCACCTCGCCGGCAGCATCTCGCTTCTTCTTCTTCTTCTTCTTGGGATCGGGCTGGGGCTCCTTGTAATCCAGCGGGGTGTCGGTATTTGGTATACCGATTTACCGTCGGTATATGACTGGTCGGTATTCGGTATACCGTTTGGCCAAGAAGTGCAGCCGAATACCGATACCGACGGTATTCGGTATACCGAATACCGATTATAACCGGTTCGATACCCGGTATACCGAATACCGGTTTACCGAATACCACCCCTAGTTAGAACGTTCAGATGATGTCAATATAGAGGAGATGGTCATGATGTTTTTAGTTACCATCGGGCACAACAAGAAGAACAGAATGCTACAAGTTGACTTTGTCGCTCAGGACAAACTATCTCCAAAGTTATTCATAGAGTCCTACGTGCTGTACTTCGGTTGCATCCTATTTTACTCCGCCGACCATCAGCTATACCAGAAAATTGTACTGATCCTAAGTGGAAACACTTCAAGGTCTGTTAATTATTTGAATTTTCTTTAACTTGCAAGGTTAGCTGCAATTACTATCCTAAAACAGCTAGTTTTTCTGTGGTAAAGGGTTGCTTAGGGGCACTAGACGGGACACATGTGAGGCTGCATGTTAGGACAGAAGATAAACCTAGGTATCGAGATCGGGAAGGGCATATTACAATGAATGTTTTGGGAGTGTGCAACCCCAACCTCGAGTTTATATACTGCTTAGCTGGATGGGAGGGTTCATCCCATGACGGAAAGGTTCTTAGAGATGCATTGGCTAGGCCAAATGGACTACGCGTTGAGAAAGGTAATGTAGCCTTTTAGAAGGAACTAGACATTCTGAAAATATACCTTACTTCCACTGATTAGTTCTTACATGTTTCTCTTTCAATTTAATAGGAAAATACTACTTAGTAGATGCCGGGTATAGCAACTCTGAAGGGTTTTTAGCTCCATATCGAGGTCAAAGGTATCATTTGAAAGAGTGGGGAGGAGGTAATAGACCATTAACAGTTGAGGAGTACTTCAATATGAAGCATGCCACAGCAAGAAACGTTGTCGAGAGGATTTTTGGTATTTTGAAAATGAGATGGGCCATTATTAGAGAAACCAGCTGGTTCTCCCCTGAGGTTGTTACACTATTAGTGAATGCATGTTGCTTGCTGCACAATTTCATCAAGCTGGAGCAGGGAGTTGACACTTTTGAGAGAGATTACAGGGACCAAGAACCTGAGCAGCATCCTTCATCTGTTGTGGAAGAAATTGATCTAGTCTCTGGAGTATGTCCTTCACAAAGTTGGACTCATTATAGGGATGCGAAAGCAGTAGACATGTGGGAGAATAGAAGTGGCAGATGATGTATTTTATGTTATTAGTGGTTGTATGTTATGTTCCATGTACTTGCATTTTCTATTTTGACTGTTGCTGCATGTATCAGTGGTTGTAACAGTATGTTGTAGGATCTAAATTGTAAAGACATATTTGAATCCTAAATATAATTCTACTTGTTGCTGATATAGAGTGGTTGTGGTGTGGTGTGCATTTATGTTCTTTTGCTGCTGTCAATATAGAGTGGTTGTGCTTTGCCACTTGGCAATGAATGCTACTGTCAAAGATGAATGTTGTTGTCATTGAATGAATGGTATCGTAGGTTTTCTTTAAAGAATGCATTTATGTTTATTTTATTGTAGGATGGCAAAGAAGAGAAAGCAGGTGATACAAGTTGAAGGAGAAGTTCAGCCTACAGGCCCCTACTTCTCGTGGGATGAGAAGCTTAATGCATTGCTCATACAATGCATGGTGGAGTTAGTACAAAGACATCAAGTTGAAAACGGTTCCTTTAAGAATGGGACCTTTTCTGAGCTCCAAACCATGATGGAGGAGAGGGCTCCAGGTTGTGGTGTGCAGGTTGAACCGCATATCCGTAGCAGACACAAGAAATTGAAGGACTTTCATGCTGTACACTTGCTGAAAAATCAGAGTGGTTGTGGGTGGGATGTTGCAACCTCTACTCCAACACTAGATGATGACGTTTTTGCAAGTGTAGTTAAGGTAATCTATTACATATATGTATCACGTGGTCTTTGTATATTTATTTTATTGTTAGTCATTCTCATCTGAACACAAGTGCTTCATTGTAGGTTTTCCCAAACTGCAAAAATATGAACAGGAAGCCTTTCCCATTCTATAATGACCTATTGAAAGTGTTTGGGAAGGTTGGACCTGCCAATGGAAAGAAGACTTTTGGTCTGACTGATGATGTTGACTCCCCAGTGGTTGATGTACTTGCATTTGTTGACTTGGATGGGCTTCAGACGCCGAGTGTAGAGAGGTTTATGGAGGATTTGATAAATGAAGGGATTGAGAGTCAGAGGGTCACTCCTCCATCTCCTGCAGCTGTGCCTCCACCTCTAGCTGCTGTTCATCCAGGAGAAGGGAGCAACAAGAGGGCTAAGAAGATAGAGAGTAAGACCGATGATGCTATTGCTGCTGTAGCTCAAGAACTGTGTGGATTGAAGCCTGTCATATCCAAGACACTTGATGCTCTAGGCACCATTATAGAAGACCGTGAGGAAGACACTGGAAAGGAAGCTGCATTGATGGCTGAGATTGGGAAAATAGAAGGCCTTGGACGCTGCCAAGTGCTAGATGCTGCTATGGCATTAGTTGAGAATGATCGCAAGATAAGACTTTTCTTCTCTCTTGATAATGAGGAGGATCGAAAGTACTTCATTCACAACTTACTGCGTTGAGAAGTGTTGAATCATGGGAGCTATTAGCTATAGTATGTTGTGTCGTATATATGTATGCAGTGTTGTACATTTTGAACTGAACACATATAGTATGGATAGGAAACTCGACCGTTTATGCAGAGCTGACTCAGAAGAGCTAGCATGCAACTGTTAAAGTAGGAGGTAGATTATTTTGGAAAGTTTCCAAGCCATTCCAATATGTGTCGAAGAATTGGCTATGTATTCAGTTTAAGTAGTATATTTCTGACTTATTAATATATGCAGGTTATTTATGTATATATGCTGCAATCTTATAATTTTCATTTCCATTACTAAAGACTATGGCTTGATCTGTGATATGTAGAAAGACGTCTTTTTATACTGAATGATCACAAACTCTACTATTCATGTCTGCAATTTTGTGGGTTGATCAGAAAGCAGTATCAAAGCTACCTAAAGAACTATCTGCAGAAACCAAATTCAAGTATCAAAGCACTTCATTTCATTAATCCTTAAATATTCCATTACACAACTCTGCTTCTCATTAACAACACTCTAACCAGTACACATGAAAAGAAACTTACACCAATAAACAAATCCGTGGGATCACTCTAAACATAGCACAAAATTGCAGCACTAAGCAGTCCTGGATTCTAATTTGAAACACCCATAGTCATTTGAGCTTTGAACTCCCAGCCTCCAACTAGTCCAACCTGAGCTTAATTGACTTAATGGCAACAACTATCTCTTCGTAGGATGATATCACATTCTTGCTTTCAATTCCAACATCAACACTATGCTTGGACACTCTGTCTAATGCAGCACAAAAAGATCTGCATTCTCCAGCTGCAAATTCGAAACCATTTCACCAAGTCTTTTCCTCTCCTTGTATAATGCAGCTCTAATGTCGTGCCATTCAAAATAATCACAAGGCTCCTTCTTCTGTGTCCACAAAACATGCTACGAGTCACTAGCTCAAACAAGACAAACTGCTGCAAACAAATCAGATATATTCATATAGCCTCTGTGGCAATGAGTGAAAATGACATCTACAAGCATTCGCATTATCATAACACCTGAACAGAGAAGCTGAACAGAATAGCCCCACCAACTACATTGGTCAGCACAAATGTCTCCCAAATTTCTACCATCATCGAGATCCATAATGCGTATTTCAGAAGAAAAATGTCTAATGCTTAAGGAACTTACAACTAGTTCATAACAATGCCAGTTAGTTCTCTCCCAGAACAAGAAATATACAACAAGGAACACTTCAATAAACTTCCAGTCAATCTGAGATAAACAGAATCAACTGAAAACTTGATAGGGGCTCCAGTTCTACCTGAATGAGGCCACGTGCTCCTCCAACATATAGGTGATTGTACCTCTCAACATCCTGCAAAACCTCTTTAACTCCCTGCTCTGGTTGATTGAGTAACGATGCCTCTGGCGTCAACTTAGTGATGCTGGACGAGCACATTGGGCATTTGCATGGTCTTGCTGCTGCTGAGTAGTTCCAGAACTGGAGAATGCACCCTCCTGAAAAGAAAGACAGCCCCATGTAACATATAAAACCTTAATGCCCATGATAGTAGCTGCATTAGGAACAATCAGCATGTCACCATGGATCTGACATTCCCACAATCTCACTTAACTATGAAAACTCTGCAACTAAATACATCCTCATTCACCAAATAGAAGGCAATTAGTGAGTTAAAACAACAGAACTCAAAGCTCCCAGCAAGTTAAAGAAGAAGAGCTTTTTAACATTCAGCTCCATTTTCCGTTCAGAGCACAGCTTTTAACAAGCACTTCCGAAAGACCCAAGAAAGCGTAATGCTACTTTCTTTCGACCTTTCAGTCTTTAGTTTCGTCTCAAGTGATCGAGGAAGCCATGAAAATGAAAGATAGAAGTTCCAATGGACACAAGAAGCACTTCAAATTCAAGAGAACCCCGAAATTCCACACATCACTTCCACGATCTAGTATCGGAAATGAACCGCAGAAAGAGAAAAAGACAGCAGAATTAAAGAAAAGCAAAGAGGGAAACGGATCGCAATACCAATGGCCGCAGTTCGCTTTACAGGCGACGGAGAAGTCGCCGAAGCAGATCGGGCAGCAATCGTCGACGGGAGGGCCAGCGACGGAAGCAGCAGTGCGACCACCACCACCATCGCTAGGGTTCCTCACGAACTCGTCTGCTTTCGTCTCTCTTCCTCTACCTCCCGCCTCGACCGCAATCCTCGTACCGCCACCGCCTCCCTCGCCGCCCGAAACGGCAACATTGCCATGAAGAATAGCAGTATCGGCCTGATCCTGGGCGGAGCCCGTCGCCATTTCCGTGAAGCAGCAGCAAATCCGACTCCCGAATCTCTGCAGCGACGCGGTCAAGGTTGTGAAACGCATAAAACAAATAATTGCTCATAAGGGCAATAAGGTCATCTCACTTTATATTCTATAAATCTAATTAAACACAATCCATAATAAAATCCATGAAACAAACAATGGTTTTTTATAAGTCCATAATGAACCCAAAACCCTTATAAGTCCATGGTTTTGGAAAACCTTCGTTTTTCAAATCCACGACGCAAACGACCCGTTAAGGTTTTGGTAAAATTGTAAAACCATGGATAAATGAGAGTTTTAAGTTCATGATGGACTTGCAAAATGCCATTGTTTGTTTTATAGATTTCATGATGGAATTGGTTAATTAAATTTGTATGTATGAAGTAAAATTTACCTTTGCCCTCATTGGTATGAGAAAAGAAATGAAACAGGAGGGGTAGTTTGGTTTTAAAAGATGAACTTCAAAGAGGTGAAACTTTCAGGTCCGTGGGGTTCACGGATTTCGACCCTTAAAATTCGTGGGACCCACGGATTTGTTGCCCTTAAATACATGAAGAAAACAATAGATTTTGGACACAGTCAATGATGGTTCCAAACCCATCACCAAATCCATCAAGCAAACAACCCCTAAATACTTGAAGCAAACAATAAATTTTGTACAAAATCCATCATGAACCCAAATCCTTCACCATATCTATCAAGCAAACAAATGCTTTCTTCTAAATCCATGCGATCTCCTTTCAAGATGCAGATGAAACCTTTTACACAATAATATGTAGAAAGCTTCCGCGATCAAAGAGGAAGCATAGTTAATTAGTGATAATCGGTTGTTTATCTCCATGGCCTTGGTTTGGAGGCCAAGTGTCCCAATCAAAGGGTAAGAAAGTAAGTTGGGATTCAAAAGCAACGGACGGTCTTGGATCAGTTCACCTAGCACTGGGCAGCCCACCCATGATTTCGGGGCAGAAAACCACTTGCTTCACAGCTTCTTACTTCATTCATGTTAGATTAAAAAAAAAAAACCCAGAAAGGAGTGACAGATAAACCTTAATAAAAAGCAAACTACCTGAGGCAAATATGTCAAAACATCATCTCATTGATTAGCAAAGTCACAGCATAATCCATAAACAAACGTACAAACTGGATACATAATATGCATCCATTCTAAACAAAAAAGTCTACTTACGACGAATTCTGATAGAAACCCGTTCTCCGGGGTCTGTCTGATGATGATAAAAGGGGAATTGAAATGGAAATGGGGCCTAGGTTGGCTCCTGTTGGCGGTGGAAATAATGAGAAGGGGAAGGGGAAATGGTTTGGCTTGAAGAGAAGAAGAAGAAGAGAGGGGAAGTCGGCTGCAGTGGCTGCCGAGGAGGAGAGGGGAGAGTGAGGGGTCGGCAGAGGGAAGGAAGAGAGGGAGAGAAGAATTGCTATTAGGTTTAGGGTTCAATTATTCCATAATCTCATTCAACGTAGAAAATAGTTTAAATAACAATTCCTAATTACCGATAACTACCCCCAAACTTATTAGACCCCAATCTAATTCCCCAAATACCCAATAAATCCATAGACATTCATAAAGTATCAAATATAAGTTCAATTGCTAATTAAATAGAAATGCAGGTTTCTATCATCCCCGCCTTCTTCGAATCAACCTTGTCCTCAAGGTTGTTAGTCCTCCACCTGCTCTTCGCCCCTGCCTTCCACTGCATCTTCCTCGGCCTCATCCTCCCATCTTCCCACCAACAACATTAATTCCGGCTTCGCGCACTTGTGCCCGATGGTGAACCTTTCATCGCAGTTGAAGCATTTGCCTTCCCTTCTATTCTGATCTATCTCCGCTGAACTTAGCCTGACGAAGCCCTTAGGTGGAGCCCTCGGCCCAAGCCGTGCTGCCGGGGCCACTGCTCCCGGTGTCGCGCCAGCCCCGCCGCTAGCAGTAATAGCGGTGCTGCCACTCCCGCTACTCCCCGCACCGGCGTGGCCTCCTCCTCCAGGCTTGGGGTAACGCCCTATGACGTTCCTCCAACTCGCCAGCTCCTCTTCCTTATGACCTGCAAGACGAAAAACTGCCCGTAAGGTGTCCGGCTCAAAAATCTTGACTGCCGCAGCAATCTCAGGCTTTAGACCTGCCATGCACATTCCCACCAGGGTCTCTTCTGGAACTCCTTTACACTGGTTCCCCAATTTGAGAAACTCTACCCGGTAATCAGTTACCGAACCAGTCTGCCTGAGCTTGGCTAGCTGCTCCGGCGCCCAGCCCTCTGATTTGCCGAATTGGTAGCGAAGCTCCTCCTGAAATATCGGCCAAGTAATCAGCGTTTGCGCGCAAGCATAGGATCGCTCTAACCACTCCCACCAGTGCAAGGCGTCTCCCTCCAAGTAGAAGGACGCCAGTTGCGCCTTCATTTCCTCCCGTGTCGGGTGATTTCTGAACCACCAGTCAGCTGCATACAACCATAAACCGGCATCCTCCTGACCATTGAATTTTGGAAACTCAATGGTCGGGGGTTTGGCCCTAAACACCAATCCATACTCATCATCATAGCGATCATAGCCACCATACCTGCCAGCACTGGGGTAGCCTTTGTAATACCCCGGGGGTCCGCGTGCGTCGTCCCCTGCACTCCAGCTCGGTCCGTTCCCGCCTGGGTAGTCTTCGTACCCACCCAGCTGACCCGCTGGGTCTCCTGCTGCTGCTAACGGAGGTCCGTAGGCACTCGAACCCTCCAGCTGGGCCCGCCATTCAGCCACTGGTCGGCCATCCGGAGTCAACCCGAACCGGTGGGGTTCGCTTGCAAATCGGCCCACCCCGGTTCGACCGTTGGTGGTCCACCCAACCCTGGTTCGGCAACTGTCGGTCCACCCAGCCCTAGTCCGACTGGCTTCGGTCCACCCAGCTCCGGTCCGACCGGCCTCGGCCCACCCAGCCTCAATCCGACAGCCTTCGGCATAGCCCGGCCCGGTCCGACAATCTGGGCCCGGTCGGTTCACCATGGCCCGCTCTGCCCCGCCTGCCCGATCGAACCCGTCTCCGGCCCTCTGCACTCGGTCCATCTCACCCTCCATTGGGCTCGGGCCCATTGGTTTGAAACAGGGGTTTTGGACCACATTGTCGTAGCCCGGCATCTTCGTCTTCCCACGTATTGCCGCGATCTTCTCAGCCGTCGGAGTCGGTAGTAGCCCGGTTCCACTTCGAGGCCCATCAGCCCCTGTGCCCACCCGATCAGTTCCCGCCTGCCCTAGGGTTGCCGCCGTCGCCTCTCCTCCGGGCCCCGCCACCGCGTCGACAGCAGCCGGGACAGCCGCCGCCGAGCTAGCCGCCGAGGCCGCCGTCGGCTTCCCTCCTCAGGCGCCCGCGTGCTGGCCCACCGCCGCTGCTTTGCTCGCCTTGGCCGCCGCCTCCTCTCACCGATCGCCTCCGCCGAGCCCCAACGCCGCCGCCAACCGCCTCTGCTCCACCTGCATGCCGGTGAGGAGCTGCATGATCATGTCACGATCACGCTTGGCCTCTTCAACCTCAGCCCTCACCTCCTCCATGTTGGAGTCGGTCCTTAATTGCATCGCCATGATGGTGCGCATCGAGGCTTGGAGATCGTCATTCTCAGTCTCGTCCACCACAACACCTTCACGCCGATTGTCTGCCTGCGGCGAGGAAACCCTGGTCTGGGCCGCCTTGGATCCAGCATCAGACTTCTCCGCAGGGGATTTAGATCGCCATAGCTCTTCAGTTCGTCCCGGTGTAGAGTTGTGTTAGAAACCTATTTCTAGGGTTCTAACAATCGAGTGATAAGATTGGGAATTGATAGATATTTAGGGATTGAGATAGAATTGTGGAAGAACAAAATTGGGGATTAGGGATTTAGAAGAGGAAATTGGGGATCGAGGAGAAGAATGACCGACAGCCTAGGGATAGGTGGCGAATTTGAGAGAGATTAGGGTTTGAGATACTTTTCTGAATAATTGTTCTTGCTTCCCCATGAATAAAACGCAAAGTACATATTTATAACGAAAGATATGAAAACCTAATACTAAACCTAATTCTACTAAAAGACTACTAACCATATTTAATAAAACCTAATAATAATGATAATATAGAAACTCGTTTTCTTTAGAAAACGTGTTTCTAACATCCCATCCCCCTTGAGACCAACCTTGCCCTCAAGGTTGATCAATTCAACCCATTTCTTCAAGCCTACCGTGCAATCCATGTCTTGCCTCCTCCATTCTTGCGCTTTCTTTTCTTCCAATCGTGCTCCACTACTCGAATGAAGCCCACTCCATACAGAAGGGCCAATGTTAAATTGCTCATATAAGGCCCAAGAATTGGCCAACAACCCAGATTTGGCTCGGCCATCTTTCTCCCCAACTGCGGCCCACCTTCAGAAATTGCTTCAGCCCACTTCTTTCCCCATTGCAGCCCAGTACTCTGGTCTCCTTGCGGCCTGCTCAACAGATGAAGTCGGCCCAAAACGAGCCCGGTCCGTTCGAGCCCTTGCTGCTCAGTGCAACCCTTAGGGTTTGTAAGAGGATAGGAGGCGCCACCTTCCTCCTTCACCTCCATCGATTTCCATGGCGACGAACCATTCCGCCGACGGAATGTCCTACGTACTATTGAGGCCACCTCCCCGTCGTCCGAAGCAACGGGCGCCGCCGCCACTACCTTCTTCCTCGTTTCTCCCTCCTTCCACGGACGAAACTCCATCTCCGGCGGTGCGTGGGAAAGCTCCCCGCCGTCTTCTATTTGCGCGGTCAGCGACTCTTTGGACAGCCCACGACGTCCGATCGCGGCAGGCACCACGTGGCACCTCTCGGCCCTCTCCTCTCCCGTGCGCGGCGCGGCCTCGACTACCGCGGGGCGCTGCTGCTCGGCCCGACCTCCTCCAGCGCGCGACGCGGTCTCGGCCGACGAAGGGGGGCGTGCGATTGTGGCGGCGCCAGACAGCTCGACCGCTGGCTCTTCGGGCAGCCAACGGCGGTCGATGCAGCGGGCTCTGTCCCGCAATTCTGCCCACGACAGGTTCGAGAGCTTTGAAGAGCTCATCGTCGAACCAGTTGTAGAAATCGTCCCCGGTTGAGAGTTGTGGTGAACTCAATTCTCGAAACCGGGCTCTGATACCAAATGTTAGAAACCTATTTCTAGGGTTCTAACGATCGAGTGATAAGATTGGGAATTGATAGATATTTAGGGATTGAGATAGAATTGTGGAAGAACAGAATTGGGGATTAGGGATTTAGAAGAGGAAATTGGGGATCGAGGAGAAGAATGGCCGACGGCCTAGGGATAGGTGGCGAATTTGAGAGAGATTAGGGTTTGAGATACTTTTCTAAATAATTGTTCTTGCTTCCCCATGAATAAAACGCAAAGTACATATTTATAACGAAAGATAGGAAAACCTAATACTAAACCTAATTCTACTAAAAGACTACTAACCATATTTAATAAAACCTAATAATAATGATAATATAGAAACTCGTTTTCCTTAGAAAACATGTTTCTAACAAGTTGCGATAAACTCAATAGTCAGAACCTGAGCTCTGATACCAGATGATAGAAACCCGTTCTCCGGGGTCTATCTGATGATGATAAAAGGGGAATTGAAATGGAAATGGGGCCTAGGTTGGCTCCTGTTGGCGGTGGAAATAATGAGAAGGGGAAGGGGAAATGGTTTGGCTCGAAGAGAAGAAGAAGAAGAGAGGGGAAGTCGGCTGCAGTGGCTGCCGAGGAGGAGAGGGGAGAGTGAGGGGTCGGCAGAGGGAAGGAAGAGAGGGAGAGAAGAATTGCTATTAGGTTTAGGGTTCAATTATTCCATAATCTCATTCAACGTAGAAAATAGTTTAAATAACAATTCCTAATTACCGATAACTACCCCCAACTTATTATACCCCAATCTAATTCCCCAAATACCCAATAAATCCATAGACATTCATAAACTATCAAATAAGTTCAATTGCTAATTAAATAGAAATGCAGGTTTCTATCAAATTCATTGACCCGATCAACTTCTCGATTAAGACGATCGAAAGATAAAAAGGAGAGTAAGATATCATATAAAGACTTGAAGAGCTGAAGATAATATGCACATACAACATATGGATCATTCGTCATGGACAATGTATTATAATACCATGTCCATATTTTTGTTTGCCTCGCGTCATTTTTATTGGCTTTTGCTCTGTTTCTGCTGTACATATGACTTGCCAGTGACGATTATGTATTGCAGCCAGTGGATAAGGGGCTACTACTAGATCCTCGAGCCCACCTCCTTAGTCTTTTGTTTCAGTGACGATTAAGACATCATAATCATGTTAAAAGTACCCATTTGCAGTGGTGCATAATAAGAGTGGCATTAAATATGGAGGAGCACTAATAATAATTCAGCTGAACGCAAAATTATCCATAACTATAGCTACAAGTGTATTCAATTCGGAGGGATTTGATACATATAATGATTGAGTTATAATTCCATATATAGATAAATTGTACAAGGAAATTCCACATAAATTTGATATGTATGCAAAACTCGACGAAGGTACAGGAGTGGTCAAGAAAATTAAGCTACAGATGTACTTAAATTTATCATATCTTCATTCGATATAACACTGCAGTAATGATACCTTCCTAGCACATGTATCTTCTTTGTGAGAGTCATTAAACCTGGGGGACTCTGGTTTTTTGCCTTTCTTCTCCCAAGTCTCATTTCAACTTAATATTTAATAAACCACACAGAGAAAAGAAACAGAGTACTTTTGTGGGAGGGGGAGCAGAAGAAGACAGAGGGATCAACCGACCAAAAACTCGAAACCTTTGTAACAACAACAAAAACAAGCGACTCCAATTGTTGGTATTCAACTGCAAAACCATCAAAATCCCCTCCCGAAAACCTTATATAAACCTCCAAGCCATGGCTCACTCATTTCAACAAAACAAAGCAGCAAAGCAAGCAAGTTCATTCTGCATTCAACTTCCTTTTTCCTCTTCTCTTCTGTTGTGAAATCTAAGTGCAAAAATAATGGCAAAGAATGTAGCTCAATCTCCCCTGGAGACCAGCATGGCTTCACTTGACCAAAGGTTGGCCATGGCCAAACGTTGTTCTCATGGTATATACTTTACTTTTTACTTCTTTTTTAGCATGCAAAGGAAATTGCTTTTTTGGCTCCACATGCTGTCCCTGGGATTTGGACTTCTGGGTTCAAGAGAAAATGCAGCCACCACCATCATGCATACACTTAAAACTATATATTACTAGTGTTATGATGCATCTTTGTCATGATTATGAGCTAGCTATACTCTATGTATTGCTTTCTTTTATCATCAAAGGGTATATGCCTACATTGTGATAAAAGATGTGGTCTATGATAACACACACATCCCCAATTAGAACCTTTTTGAATGAATCAATTCAAAATCTCCTCACTTTTTGTTCACAAAGAACAGAGTATCTTATGCATAGGAGGCTTTTGTATGTTTCAGCATCAAAATGGATAAAAAGGAAAGGAAGGGAAGAAAAGGGGTTCTTTGATTATGATGATGATGGACCTAACCTTAGACCAAGTCACCGAACAAACAACTCTTTTGCTTTCTTTCAATTTCCTTTCTTCATTAGAATGGTTTTTCCCCAAAGATTCTAGCCTTTGGACCCAGAAATTGCACATGAAGAAAAGCTATGGAATATGGTCGGTCAAGATTTACTGCTGCTAGCTAACCTATAATGGATTGATTAGTTAGCCAAAACTAGAATAATTAACTTGCTTTTTGATTATCTTTATTGAGTACTAACATTTTCTTTCCCCATGTTTTTGATGGGTTTGCTTTTGACAGAGGGAGTGGTTGCAGGAGCAAAGGCAGCTGTCCTTGCTAGCATTGCTACTGCTATCCCAACTGTAAGTTCCTTTCTTGACTCTTGTTCTACTTGGAAATGGAACATTTCCCGAGCTCTGACTAACTGTGTCCCTTGCATGTGCAAACATGCAGTTTGCTAGTGCAAGAATGCTTCCATGGGCAAGAGCTAATCTCAATCACACTGCCCAAGCTCTCATCATCTCCACAGGTTGGCACATTTTTACCAAAGAAACAAGTGATTATCTTTATTCTTCTATAATGTTTTTCCTAGTTGTTAATGGAGTTTTATGGTTTCAATGGCAGTTGCTGGAGCAGCCTATTTCATAGTCGCTGACAAGACTGTCCTAGCTACAGCAAGGAAGAACTCATTTGAGCATGCTTCCAACAATTGAAGAAGCATGGATTCTAGTTTTTACTGTGATCAATTATGTGAGATTCATCTACTGTGGTGTATAAATAAGATGAGCTTCACGTATGAAGCTAAGACAAATATGTATCCAACAATTGGAGTAATCAAATGGGGAACAAAGTTAGTTTACTTACTTGGTTTACCAATAGTCGTTACACAAACACCGCCCATCTCTGAAATGATGGGACGGATTTCTGTCTCTAGCTATGATTCCTCTATTAAAGATCTTTGAAATCAGCTTAGTTGCAGAGTGACAGTTTACACAAACGCGCAGATTCTTCACTATATTTATCATAGTCCCCAGCTTTGTACTGATCAACCCAAAAGCTAAGCAATCGCCAGCTTCTCACGGTGATGGCTCATGACCTCTTCTTTCCATTCCTCGTTCATATTATACAACACCTTGGAAGCATCCAGCACGAAATCAGATTTCTCCAATGCCTCATCTATCTCATCCAGCAACTAATAGAATTCGTCACTATGAGAATCTGTCTTGTTGCCAACTAGAAACTCATGAACAACACTATCCATAAAACTACAACCGGGCACTTTCTTCATTCCTTTATCATTTATCCTAGTTCTTATTCTCGCCAAATCATCCCATCTCCCAGCTCCTGCATAGATATTCGACAAGAGCACATAAGCCCCAGTGTTTTCAGGCTCCAACTCGAGAACACGCTAGGCAGCCAATTCGGACAACTCAACTTGCCCATTAAGTCTACACGATCCAAGCATAATCTCAGATTGCACCATTGGGGTCAATTCCATATTGTTTATCAGTCTCTCTGCTCATCAAACAACCCGGCTTCGCCTAGAAGATCTATCATGCAGCCATAGTGTTGCAATTTAGGACTAAAGTTGTGATCTTGCACCATTGAAGTAAAGTACTTCCGTCCTAGATCTACCCAACCCCCATGGTTACAAGCAGATAGTAAACTGACGAAGATGATGTCATCTCGTGCAAACCCTTCATGTGCCATTATGGAGAAGAGCTCGAGTGCCATGCCAGGAAGCCCGTGCATAGCAAGCCCAGATATCATTGCACTCCAAGAAGCCAAGATTTTAGTTTCCATGGCATTGAAGATTTGTTTGACTGCCATGGTATGACCGCATTTGGCATACATGTCAATGAGGCTCGTCGATAGAGCATTATTTTCTTTTGTTCATGCTCTTGTCTATATGAGCATGGATCCATTTACCGAGAGTCAGAGCCTCCAAGTTGGAAACGACTGGAAGAATGCTTACCCAGGTTACCTCATTAGGGTCTACATTTGATTGAAGCATCCGTCTGAAATCTCCAGTGCTTCCTAGTAGCTGCCCATGTTGTTATAACCACGGTTCCATGAGACGACGCTCTTGGTTTTTTAGGTTATCGAACACATTCGTGGTTCTATCCAGATCTCCACATTCAACATACATGTCAAAAAGACCATTGACAAGCCCGAGATTTGATCCTAGCCCGTGATCCTTAATCCATGAATGCACCCAATTGCCCAACTCCAGAGATCCAAATTCGCACATGCTTCGAAGAAAACTATTGCTTCTTCATATAAGCTATTCTGGATATGGCCTGAAATCATATCATTCCAGGATACTACATCTCTAACAGGCATTTCATCGAACAGTTTCCGAGCCTCATCCATAAGCCCACTAGAACCGTACCCATTGACCAGAGCCGTATACGAAATGGTATCTCTCTTAGGACTTTTGTCAAACACCGATCTACCATAACCCAGTTCACCATTCTGAGCACAAATGTTAATCAAAGAGGTATGCACAAAAGCGTCTTACTCAACACCGAGCTTCAGAACATGTCCATGGATTTCTTCCTCTTCATGGGCATTCCCCAGTTTCGCGCAGGACTTCAAAACGAAGGCAAACATATGGTTGTTCGGCTTCAAACCAGCCACCACCATCATACAGATGTAAAATTCCACGGCTAGAGCAAGGGTTTCACTCAACGCGAATCCCCTGATTATCTGATCAGGGTTTTCGACAGTCTTGAAGAGGGGCAGAGCGTAAGGCAGGTCGCCGAAGGGAGAAACTGGCAGAAGTCGATTAACTTGGTGAGGGCGAACTGGGTATTGTTGTGGAGGACGGTTTTGATGACGAGCGAGTGGATTTGTTTGAGAGTTCGGACGTCTTTGCAGCATGGTCCATGAAATCGTACCATATCGGCGGTTCAATCACGAAATATCAGTATTAGAGGCTAAATCGATAGGCGGTATTTAACGGTATTACAGTTGAACTATGGTTAAACCACGATTTTACCATAAAATACCCTACCGCTGACCTTCCCGGTAAGATCTCCGGTACGGTTTCATGGACCATGCTTTGCAGGTGGAGAGACTGATAGTAATTTATGACGAATGCAAATTTTTTCTGGAACTTGGCAATAAAAATACAGACAACATTTTTTTTATAGAAAAAAATAGACAACATTAATGTAAGGATGAACTAATAAAAAAATAAATATATAAACTAAGTATCACAATAATCAAATAACACAAAAAATATTTTCAAACTATCAATAAATTATTTACAGAATTCCAAAATCATTTAAGAATATAAAAAAATTGATTAACATAAAAAATAAAAGTAAAAACTAAAATTCACCGACCAACAGGTGGGGTAAAGGGAATTCGTGCATGGGAATAATGTGGTTTTCTTCATGATAAGTTCTAACTCACAAATATCCTTTCATTTTAACGATAGGCCAATTCCTTAGAGTTTCTAATGTGATTTTCAATGTATATTGTCTTAGTTTCGTTCGGGCATAACAAAAAATCAAGTTAATAATGACAAAAATAATATGAATCAATACATTTTCTCATGTATAACAACATCAAAAGGACAACGTTTTATTCTAAAATATGGGAAAAATAAATATAGATGGCAGTTCAATCCGAGACATAATCTAACAAGAACCAATCGATAAAAATACCTATAAACCAATTCAATAATAATATCACAAATATTAGTTTCAAATCATGCATAAAGTATATAAAATTAAAGGTCCCAAATCATTTAAAATATAAATATATTGATAATATAAATTTCATGAAATATAATGAAACTGATACCCGACCAACGATCATGTTAAAGCTAGTCGGTTAGTATGTCAGAAAACTCTCTGATGTTATTCCGATCCTCTCATATATTTCCAATAATTGGATTCGCTTACAACATCAAATATATCTTCTTTCCAACCATTACTATTGTTGCTTATTTCATTTAAGGAATACTACATCCGACCAACCAACGACTGAGATCCAGATCTGATACATAATAATAATAAAGCTTCCATGATTGCACGTAACGAGATGTCCCATTACTACATGCATAAGTTGGCACACCCATATAGCGCGCGCAATCCTTCAACAGCTTTCAAACCGATACCTCACCGTAAGCTGGCCTTCAACATCTGCACGGCCATCAGTATTATCCAGTTGATTGAAACTACTTAGGTCGAGTTCGAGCCCATGATCGTTACGCTCGTGAACAATACGCACCTTCACTTCGCGTCGTCCTAGAATACTCGCCACCTACAAACACATGGACAAACATATATATAGCATTTTTTAACTGTCTAATGTACGTATATATGTTAACATAATATAGAATAACGTAATACCTTCAAGCAGCGGCCGCAGTTATTAGTAACGTTATAATTATTATCTCCAAAGAATCCAGCACTAAAAGCAGCACGTGGATAATCCTCGTCGTGGGAAGCTCCACATGAAAACATCGACGACGAAGAGGAAGAGGAAGGGTTGTCACCAACAGCAACGTGATCATCGTCCAAGTTGTGGTTATGCGTGGCGTTAACAATACCGGCGGTGTGAACTCCTCCTCCTCCTCCTCGCGGCGTGGAGGAATGAGATGTGAATTCTTCATCGGTGGTTTGAGGTGGAGGCGGAGAGGGGTATTGGTAGCAGGAACCTGTGTGGCAGTAGGCAAAGCTGGGGTCACCGCAGTAGCAAAAATAGCTGCAGCAGCGGCCCGGGTCGCAATAAGCCCGTTTCCCGCCGCTCAATGCGCCGCACCACCGGTTCGGCTCCTCGTCGCACAAGGAGCGAGTCACCAGGACTGCTGCGGCCCATATAACAACTAGGAAGTTTATTTTTGTAGCCATCGTCAGATAATTAATGTGCAGTATAATGTGCATGGCTCATGTATAGCGTCTGTTCTATTTATATAGAATGAAGAACACAGAACGCAAATTAGACCTACTGATTAAACCGGCCTTAATTATGGTGGAATGAAGTCGGCGAGATTCCTTTCAAGAGCTGAGAGATTGAGGTGGATCGATCGATCGGGGTAAGTTAAGTAACGTACACGTTTGGATTGGATATACGCAGGATGGTAATGGGATCTTGAATCGGCAATTAATATTCCATAGAGAAAAAAGGCGAATCAGGGAGCCGGATTCTGTTTGGAGTACAAATTCTGTGACCAAGATTGCTAACAAACAAAGAAAGCAAAAAAAGACAATTATTGGTCGAATTTCATTAGGAACTAAGGGGAAGGTACACGGGGTGAGATGGGGTGATGGGTCGTTAAGTTTGTTTCAATCTTGTAATTTGGTAAAGTGTGGAGTATTAGGGTTACTAATACAGTTACTTAGGGGTCGTTTGCTTCAAGGATTTGGTACATGAATTTGGTATCAAAAAACCAATTATCAAGGATTTAGATACAATCCGTTGTTTGCTTGCACCTTTTTTGGAGACCAAATCCGTGGGGCCCATGGATTTTAAGGGTCCAAATTCGTGGACCCCACGGACTTATAAATCCCACATGTTGATGTGAGATTTAGAATATGGCATAAATCCTTGATGACATTTTACCCATATACCCTCATGCACTTTTAATATTCCAAGGTTGCCCTCAAATTTAACTATTATACATTATAATTAACAATAAATGAATAATATGAACGTTCAATTAATGTGCAAACATGATTTAGATTTTTTATATCATTTCTTGTGTTCTAGTTTTCTTTGACCTTTTCATGGAACGTGTAATTCTTTGTTCTCCCGATTCTAATATATGTTATATGTTACTTTTGAAAAGGAGGACAAAGAATTGGTAATTGATTATGTTACGTTAAAAGTTAAAACGGAATTTTCTCGTTTATTATTATTGTCCATGTGGCAACATTATGCTTATTAGTATGTATTGTCCTTGTTTTGTGTACATATCATAAACATGTCAAACATATAGAAAATGATAGTAAGGTAATTTTGAAGTTTTGTCCTTGTTTTGTGTACATATCATAAACATGTCAAACATATAGAAAATGGCAGTAATGTAATTTTTGACTTCAAGTAGTAAATCCCACACCTTTAAATCCATGATAAAAACATCCCAACAAACAAAGGATTGTTACAAATCCATGATGCCTCAAATCCTTGATAAATCCTTGGGTTTTTAAATTACAAAACCCTCGTTTATAAATCCATGAAGCAAACGACCCCTTAATTCTTTGGTTATTAATAGGTAGGGATGCAACAGTTCGGTCAGTATCGAATTGCATCGGATTAAATCGGCGCTTGGACCGGACCACACCGGACTAAGTATAATATGGTCAGGTCTTTGGTTCCACGTATTTTATAAATACCGAAGAAAAATGAACCAAAGTGATTTTTGGATCGTACCAAAGCGGATCGAATGTACTGTTGACATGGTCCTTGATCCATATGACTGATCTCTTACTATTGGACTAAGGTTTTACTGAGTTTGGTCCGACCCGGTCTAAACCGGACCATTATACAGTGATAGGAAGTGAATATAACACAGATGAGCACAAAACCATAAATCGAACACACATATCAAGTTTATTTTTCCCTCCCGACACTAAATACTATTATAATGATACTAGCTTCTTGCCTTTCGGTTTTAGTTTTAGGCTATTGGTTCTTCATTTTGTTGGTCCCAATATAAATTACTGGATCCCACAGGTTATGGTTCTCCTCTTCCTCTTTTCGAGTGATCTAACGATAAAGAAAGACTTGTATTAGCATTACTTTCTTTTTACAAGGAAGTTGTGTTTATATTTTGTAATACAAATACGATAGAATTAAAGACTCATATGGAAAGTCACAGGCTTAGTTCAATTCAAGCACCATAAATAAACTGAATGGCTAAACGCCAATTTTTCAATTGTGTTTTATTAAGGCTAATTAGGTCATTCTAGTTAGGGCGATTATCAAACTTAGAGCGACAATTAGCAACCCTCATAAATAAAAGAGTCACAGCCTCACAAATTTTGTGTGAATTCTAGAAAGAGTCATTTTGAGTGGGTATATTGTAACAAGTTGAAATTAAAAACACGAATTTATGCCCACACAACTTACTATGTATTCTCCCCCTGTTCATCCTCTGACTCATCCGAAACCTAGTAAAACAGAGGAGACATCAAATCGAAATTTTACATTTCAGAATATCACAGCAACAATCCAGACAAGGAGAATTATGCTCCATGCATTGGCATGAGGACATCTGGCGACCCAAAAATGAGACCAGAATATATAAATAGCCTGAGGGGCATTTTCAAGATGCATCAATAATTGAACTCCCTCCCAATGATGAACAATATCCATGCATTAAAGAAAGATCATTCTCAAATCCCAATCTCTATATATATTTGAAGAAAGCTAGTTATTCCCCATCACCTTTGCATGGGATTTGCATACAGGATTAACATAAAATCTATTATAATATTGGATGTCTTGGGTTGAGATTGTCTGAATGGTGAATTTTGTCTCTTCACTAAATTATTTTTATACAATTTAAATTGGTGTGCTATAATTCTTTGTGGTACGCTGTATATGTGAAGCATTAGGGGTGTGCAAGAGTTCAAATCCGTATGGGAACGAATCGACATTTGGAATAGGACCAAGCCGAGTCAAATATAATGTTATATGAGTCTCAATTTAATAAATTTCTAAATATTTAAATGAGGATCATATATACTAAACTAGACCACTTGTACTTTTTGATCCAGTTCTGATCCTCAATTTTATTTACTTTCATTCATAATTCGATATTATTTCCATATCGGTTCTATCGTGATAAAATCCAGTTCTGGACCACACCATTGTACACAACTATAAAACATGCGAAGAAGTATATAGATGATAGAGATGTGCAATTTTGTTGAATATAATTGTAATAAACTTGTTGGATTATCAACAATTTTTTTTTTATTTTAAATATTTGTAAGGAACTCTAAATTTTTTAAGAACCAAAAAAATCTAAATTTGGCGTCCATACCAACTCCCTTATCCATTAACTTCCGAATATGATTTTTTTTTATTTTTTATTTTTCTTGAGCTGAGGATACATCAACTTCACAAGACCAGGGCAAGGGAATATATGAATATTCAGTAATTCAAAAGCAACGGCTATTCTTCTCGTCCAATCCATAGGGTTTCGATTCCCTCTCTAATAATTTCGAGGATATAAGATGGAATGGAGCCTTCCCCACTTCCTCTCTCTCTATGATCCTTTCGAAAGCAATCACACGCAAGAATAAAAGAGATGATGGATTTGTAATTGTGCAACTCTAGAGTCTACATTTGAATATTAACCATGTAAATATAGAGACATAGATCTAGAGAGGAGGAATAGACAATTAGACATCTCATATGGTCAAATATTCGAGGCGGTTATGGAGTGCGTAGATTGCGTTTTGGCTTGAAAATTGAAATGGACTCAGCTACTTAATTATTAACGGGTTTGTATAATTACGATATGTCACTCACTCATTTATTTCTCTTTCGGGTTGAATTGGATGGCTAGCAGGTGATGTAACTGGTTTGCGGGTAAAATCAATTCTCACATTGGCTATAATTAGATTGGTTAATAAAAAAAATTAGGACTTTGCTACAGTGACATGCATATCACAGTGACATGCACTTTTAGGTCGACCTCATATAGGATTAGGTCGACCTAATCTGTTGTTTCAGTGTAAAAACAATTTAATGGTGCCTACTTTGGAGATTCATATATTACAATTGGCTAGATGGAAATTGGAAATCAATGACTTGTTTTGAAGCTGAAGTGTCCCTCTACACATTAAAGTACTTGGGAGCTCAATAAGAAGTCCAGAACACCATTTTTGAACCTGATCAAAAGACTATGCCAAAACTTGGAAACTGACTGAAAATATCTAAGTCTGGGAACGTGTTTGTGAAGCCTACTTTGGAACTCAATTCGAAAGCATGGATGTGAATCGAGTCCAGAGGCCTCTACCACGTTAAATTAGGTATGTTTTTATACAAAATCAAGGCATTGGATGAAAGATTGGATATATGTAAGGCTTCAAACAAAAGGGTCGAAGTTACTACGAAGGCTGTTGTTCCTTGTGCTCGAAGTCTGCCAGAAAAACAGTCTTCGTAGCAACTTCGACCCTTTGGTATGAAGTGTTACAAATATCCTATCTTTGATTCAGTGACTTGAATTTGTATAAAAACATACCTAATTTAACATGGTAGAGGCCCCTGGACTCGACTCGCATCCATGCTTCTCGAATTGAGCTCCAAAGTAGGCTTCACAAACACGTTCCCAGTTTCGGCATAGCCTTTTGATCAAATTCAAAAATGTTCTTCTAAACTTCTTACCGAGCTCCCAAGCACTTTAATGTGCAGAGGAACACTCCAGCTTCAAAACAAGCCATTAATCTCCAATTTCCATCGAGCCAATTGTAAGATATGAATCTCGAAAGTAGGCACCATGAAACTGTTTTTACACTGAAACAACCGATGAGGTCAACCTAATCCTACATGAGGTCGACCTAATCCTACATGCGGTCAACCTAATCTTAACTGAGGTCGACCGAAAAGTGCAAGTCACCGTGACATGCATGTCACCATAGGCGCACCCAAAAAATTAACCAAATTAGGAATATTTTAGCAATTTAGATACATGTCGCTTTGTCTCCATAGCATTGGCCGGTACTTGTGATTTGCAAATTTTCTATAACTCATATATATCACCAAGTATTATGGAACACAGCAAAAACAAGTCATTAACTGCATATCCCTACACACCGTTTGGTACCAAATGAATCGAAAATTCATTTCATTGTAAAATTAATTACCATGTAGAATTCATTCTCAAATGAGATCCTATGTTTGGTATGTTATATTCAAATCTTTAGAAATAAAATGAAGTGTCGTGTAGAATTCATTGTCAAATGAATTCTTGTGTTTGTTATGCCATATGTATAAGTAATTTAGTTAATAAAAGTGGATAAACATGTCATTCTGTTATAATTAGTAAATTCTTGTGGACTTCATTTGGAAATTCCATCTCAATTCCTCGGAATTGCTATAACTAGTTCCAATTCCGTAGAATTCAAAATTTAGAATTGAAAATGAATTCTTTTTAATACCAAACACGACAATATTTCATTTCAAAATGAATTCATTAAAACTTATGGAATTCATTTATACCAAACGACATGCTAGTAAAAATTGAAGCTTGTTGCAACTTTGATACAATTAATTGCATGTACTTTGCATTCTAATATATATCTAATGAACATTAGATAATATAATAATCGATAGTATCAGTTCAAAAATAATCTTTGTTTCCCGATTGTTGAAATGGATGATGATTGTGATTTGGCTGGACGATATGAGGACCCTTTGACATATGAACATATAACCAATCTTTGCATTGTCAAAATGGGATGCGGCTCATTTAGTTGACCTGCAACCCATTATTGAAAACTAACCGCCAACATCATAGTCAGTGTGGGTGCAAAAACACCAGCTTTTTGTTAAACGCTATTAAACCATTTTTAAAAACTGATTTCTCTCATGAAATCAAACCGATAAAAGAATTCTATATTTAAATCGTCTATCATTCTTGTTCTTTTAGACTAATTTAGCCAAAGGTTTCTCGAGATAACATGACTGAGATTTTCATGTGTCAAGATGATGGATGCCATGTCAGCATAATATGGTTTTGGTAGGGCCAGTTGTCCTTATGTGGCACTAGAGACATGTATGCCATGTCAGCGTAAATAATTGCGTATATTCTGGGATAGCCATGTGAATTGCCAAACTCTGCCTCGTGGGGATTTGGAGCACTGAGAAGTTGATTTTTCCCCAAAAGGTTTCAACTTGTCTTTGTCTCCAATTCCTGTCCAGGATTCCCATGCCATGAGATCTCAACTTACACATCTGACTTCTAACGAAATCTAAGAGTGTGTTTGGATAGAATGATTTGAATTTTATATTTGTGATTTGGATATTAATTATATTTGGTATTTGGATTTGTATCAAATCCATAGTGTGATTTCCAAATACATGTCTAGTGTATTACTTGTCAATTTCAAATACATTTCAACAACTAGTGATTTGAAATATCTCCTAATAAAAAATTTGACCTATTTGTAAAATATTAAAGTTTAGGTAGTATAGTGTGAGACAAAACATATAAAGGTATCAAAACATAATTTCACCATCAAAATTTCTGGATCTTTTTGTAAAATTTTAAAAGTTTAGGTACTAAATTGTAAGGAAAAATAAATTTGGGTACCAAACTGTAATTTACCAAACGTTGAAGTAAGTGACCAAAAAGTTCAGAATTGAAATAAAAAATTATGAAATTTAAAATGCAAACAAAATACAAATGAGTATCCAAACGACGGATTTGAATTACATGTATTTCAAATGTTAGTATTTCAAATGCATGCATTTTAAAATCATGTATTTTAAATACATTACATTTGAAATACACCTATCCAAATGTACCCTAATGGAATTCCATGAAATAACAATGTCATTCAGATTGCATACTATGTAGCCCTCATGGACGCGATTTCGAGAGAGAAATTAGTAACTATTCTGGACTTTTCGTTCTTTGTTAGCTTCCTGCCACTCCTTTCGAACATCCCACTTTCCTCTGGTATGAAAAAGGATTTATAGTTATGATATATGAACGATAAGATGATTTTGAAATTAAGTTAATACCAACGAGGTAATCAGTTTGTTGCAATAACTCAACTTGCTGAGAGATGTTGCTTTTGGATTTAAACTTTAAAATTTGCACTTTATTGTGTTGTAAAATATAAACTAGGAATGTCATAATATATCATGATTACTACATATGATATCGGAAGCTATCATGAACCATTTTGTCCTAATAATTCAGATTGTTCGGAGATACCCAATATCTTGAAAATATTCCACTAAACTATGAATATCGTAAGATATCACGAACCATTTTGTCCCAATTATTCATATTGTTCGAAGATACCCAATATCTTGAAAATATTCCACTAAACTATAAATGAGGCCAAGTCCAAAAAAGTGAACTTGGAAGTTAAGCAATTGTTCATATGATCAGGTTCATGAACTGGGGTGAAGTTGTGGGATTCTGTTTTGCATGCATTCTACTTACCCATGCCTGGAATGGGAAGATAAAACCTTAAACAATATCAAGTTGCATTGCTGAAGAGAGTTAGAAGATGCATGAAAAGGAACAGACTTTCTTTTCTATTATGGGAATATAAAAGGTTTGGGATATTGGAATCTACTCATCGGTTGGCAGCAGTTTCAAAAGAGAAAAAAAGAGGCCCTACAGCTGAATTTGTGCCACACTATCCATCAATCTAACATAAAGCTCTCTCTTTTATCTCAGTGTTGCCGAGCCCTAGTCAAATCGCTCGGTTGGACTAATTTCGATCAGAGTCGGTGCTGAAAACGGCCTGTAAAAATTCAGCTTATTTCTAAATATGTAACCAGTCAAACCAATAGTTTGATTGAATTGACTAGTTTTCGGGCTCTTACAAAATGTTGTCGTTTTGGTTCTCACCCAAACCCTATTATGGAAAACAAAGTTTATATATGAAGTTTTTAGGGTCATATAATATTTTAGCTATTAAATTATTGTATAGTACCTGCCAAATTATATTTAAATTATTAAAAACTTAAATCATTACCATATATATGTACATATTTTTATAAATATATATAAATTGACTTAAATATATTGGACCTAATCAGACAATTGAATCTTAAATTATTTGCTTGACCGACTCAACGGATTAAACCAGTTTAACAACCTTATTTTAGAAGACAGGCTAGTTCTGGTGGAGGAAGATTGATGGTTCCCTTGCTAGCTAGCTCAGCTTCCTGCGTCGGCCCGCCGCAGCCCAATATTATTCCCGTTAACTGTCATAGAATATAACATTCCCTTTCCACCTTTTTCCTGGTGCGGATAACAAATAATGCCCAATAAAATAAAAGGAGACAAATGCAAAAGGTAAAGAGATATTTATTAAGGAGCTTTGCTAAGAGCCTAAGATACCCTTTGGATCCATAAAACATCGGATAATCATGAGGCGAGTGCATTGTGATTGTAAACAAAGTCCGGTTTTATGAATAATCGACAAATTTATTGAAGCATATGAATAGAGTTTTCAGAAGGATAGGACTTTGTTAGAGTTATAATGTGCCTCCTTTAACGAATCACTAAACTCAAATCTCGATGAATTCAACACCTAAATCGTCTCAATGAGAAGTTTATTATGAAAATTGTCAGACATGTTTGATTCTCTTTTTCATTTCTCTCTTTTTCTCTCCGACACATGGCTGGGAGGCCAGAAGAGAGAATCGAATGAGCACATTGTGTCGTTTGTTACTGTTTGTTTTTACTACTAGATCAGAAATGCATATACACAATAATGACTCCAAAAGCTGAGAGAGAGAGAGAGAGGGGTTGACAGTGGGATGAATATATGAATCTACTGCTTTTCATGAATTATTGCAGAGACAGATAGAGATAGAGAATCAGATGGCAAGTGAAAGAAGGAAGGCAGGCTTTGGAGGGGTAGAATTTGCCCAATGGATGTGCATTATAAGGTATTGATTCCCACCACCCCACACTCTCTTTTTCACTGCACTATGTGTAACCTCAACTGGATACAACCTTCCTCCTTTAAGGAGAAGGTTTAACTCCCACAACTTGGAGACATTAGATCTCACTCTGAATATCTGGTCTTGGGTTGGATGACACATTTCCCTCTCGAGAGTCGTGTCCGATTATCTCGCATGCGTGGCATCCATATCAACATTGTGTGACCAATGGAGAGACGAGGAAAAAAGCTAGAAAGAAGATAGCTAAGTTAAATGTTTGATACGCAGTTTCCTTACACGCTCTCTTAAGTGGAAGTCTAGTTACTAAACCGTAATTTTGCATTTTCCCGTCATTTGAAAGCATTTGCATTTGGGGTTTAAAAGGTCGGTACCTGCATGTCTGTCGAGTATCAATTCATTTCGATAACTAAATCTAATAGATATTCTACGTTATCCACCATTAAGATAATCATTCATTTCCAAACACTAGTTGAAAGTAACCCAAAAGTGAGTCTTTGCTTAATTACACAACTCTCTTAGAGAATCACATACCAAGTTTTACCCTTTTTTTTGTTTCTTCCCCCTCATTTTCTAAGGTTGAATGAAACTGACCATCTTTTCTTACTTCCCTCTCAAGTCTCAACCAACCCTTTTATTTATGAAACATGCCTTCCCATTGCTTGATAATATGAATCAAGCCGGGTCAACAAAAAGTTAAAAGAGCAAGGTTAACCATCAACATATCTCAACTTAAAGGTACCAAAATGGGATTTTATAATATAGGAGATTGAAAGATTCCATCATTATAATACAATGGTCCCATGCATTTGGAAAGGTGGGGTGCAAAAACAAGTATATATAGGACTCCAAACTCAACCAACCAAAATTCATTCACCTTACATTTGCAAGCTCTCCTCTCCAAATATAGAACTCACTAGCAACCATTTTCATTTGCCTAATTAAGCCCTATTCTTTCAATTCTTCACATTCAAGCCCCTTGATTCTCTGTTAAAACCACAACAAGAAGAAGAACAGCAAGATGAGCTGGACAGGAGGTGACTGGATGTGTGGAGCTTGCCAACACCAGAACTTCAAGAAGAGGGAATCCTGCCAACGATGTGGGTACCCGAAATACGGCGGGCCTGATGTGGCAACATACCTGTACAACAGGACAGAGGTGTTGGCAGGGGACTGGTATTGCATTGGCATGAACTGTGGAGCACACAACTATGCCAGCAGGACCAGCTGCTACCGGTGTGGCTCGATTAAGAACGACTATGGCGCTGCTGCTGCTGCTGCTTATGGGTCAGATTCCGGTGCCCCTCCTGGTTGGAAGTCTGGTGACTGGATCTGTGCTAGGTGGGTTTCTTGCCATCCAAGTAACCTCTTGTTTAGTTTCTTAAGCAATGTCATTCGACGAAAACTGCTAGGTGATCTCTAACATGGGTTTGGTTTTTGTGTGTTACAGGATGGGATGTGGAACACATAATTTTGCTAGCAGGGGAGAATGCTTCAAATGCAGGACACCAAGGGAATATGGTAAGCAAGGACTTACCATTTTAAGTTCCCTTTACTAGCTCCATTGAAAATGAAATCACTTTATCACCTCACTTTAGTGGAGTCAGCCTAACACACACTTTTCATTTCATTTTCTGTGGTTTGCAGGTGGTGGAATGTAACCAGCAGAGAAATTGGAGGCTTAAGGGTTAACATGTACCAAACTCAACAACTTCCTTTGGTCTCTTTTTTCTTTCTTCTTCATCTTCATTTTGAAGGTTAATAAGCAGTTTTTAGGTTAGGTTTTGATACCCATTTTCTAGTATTTGGATTCTGAGGGGGAAGGATGTGTCTTTCTTCTTTTGTAACTCTTGTAATGTACTTACACTGACTGTTACAAAAAGGAAAATGAAAAAGATCCCATTTGGTTCCCCATTTTCCTCTCATTAGCTGTTCTGCCACTTCCCAATTGCCAAAAGCTGTATTCTCCATCTCTTGGCTTATATGAGGAGGGTCCAAAGGAATGTAATGTGAGAGATTAGCTAGTGGCATCCCAAAGGTGATGAGATGGAAACTGATAAATCATTCATGGGTTCTTGATCATCCACATTGGACCACACTATGGGGGCAATGTCAGAGAGCTCATTTGGGTCCAAGCCCAGGAAAATAAAAGCCCATTTGAGAACATGGAGGAAGATTCAAGGGAATCAAGGTAGAAGATGAGGCAGAGTTGAACTTCAAAGGTGGAGTGGAGACTGGAGAGGTTCTGTTGTGTCTCAGGGCAATAATTTATGAACCCTTTACACCTTTAGGCATCAAATCTGCAGGGAGGGACTCATTTTGTTTATACACAGGGGGATCACACCTCAATAATTATAAGTAGATAAGAACCGGATGCTTGTCAATTGCCACTTTCCATTTGCATTTCATTATCATGGGCAGGAGTTCTTATTTCCATTTGCATTTCATTATCATGGGCAGAAACTTCAATACATACAATTTTAGGTCTAGAACGTTCAACATACATTATATATCCTAAATTAATCATAAAAAGTATAAGAAATATATAAAACAAAATTAGATTCTTAGGGGAACTAGAATTAAAAAGGGGCATATATATTGATGTAATTGCAAAGTGGAATGGAAGTACTTTGGGTCATATTATTTTTACATTTTAGTGGAAGATAGAAGTGTGATAGATAAAATGACATGTAAGTGATTGAGTATAGGTAGCATAGGAATTACATGTAGCCGGGGTGGTTATGAGGATGTGTATTCATTCTCGCTCCAAACCCAGTCAATATGAATATTAAGCCACATTCAATCTTCTAAAAATTTGGGGACACCTTAATATATTACTTGTTAAGGGGTTTAATTTCCAACAAATCCTAGATATATGGTTCTTTGGGTTGATCTAAAACAAGCTAATTGGGCTGAGTCTAACACTTTAGGCAAATCTTATATCGACAAAGTTTAAGAAATCTTCGACAAAAAAAAAAAGTTTAAGAAATCCATATTTCATAAGAAACAATTCAATATTAACCAACAAGATGTGTTTTAGGGTTAAATAGAGAAGTTCTTGTGAGTGATGCAAAGATGAGTGACCTCTCAAGAAATCATCACGATGCTCTTTAAAATTAAAATTGTGCGGGGTAAACCCAAAGCGGACAATATCTTGGTCAGTGAAAGAGTTGGAAAGTTACACATAGTATGCTCTCGTTTGAGAAAAGATAGTTGAGAACCGCGAACAAGGGTTTGACCTAGTGGTAATACCACTGGTCTTATACTTGGAGATCTCATGATCGAATCTGTTTAATATATAACACCTAATTATAAAAATCAATATATATCACCCTATCAAAGAAACTATAGTTGACAACCAATTTTTTTTTTCCGGTACACGACGTGTGATCTGTTATAAACGCGCTGCTACGGATCGGGAAATCGTTGGAATCGACAAAGCAAGAATACGAAAGCGAGAAACGAAAACACGAAACACCATTTACGTGGTTCACTAACACGATGTGTGTTAGCTACGTCCACGGGCGAGAGAGAGAGAGAGAGAGAGCCAGTTTCACTATATCGAGGAGATTACATATTACAGAGGAGTATGAGAAGTATTTATAGTACTTCTCCATGTGGGTCTAAATCTAATCCAATCTGGCAAAGGAAACGGTTACAGACCAGACCCAGAACCCGATCCCAAACGGTCAGCGAGACCCCCGACTAATTCAGTCGTAGCAGCTGATAGTCCGATTCAGAGTCACATCAACATAATCCAACTGCATGATATAACAACACTCGAATTTCCTGGATGACAAAGAAGTAGAGATGCAGGGTTTTGCATTTTGCACCAGCTTGCCTTGGTGTGGAATATTCTTGGGTTTTCCTGTTTTGGTGGATGACTTGATGAGTAACTTCATCAGCTGCATATATATGCTTTCGATTGGAGGAATTAAGCTATATTAGGGTGTCCCATTTACAAGCGAACAAGTTCCCCCTTAGCTACATATACCCAAATCCAACATTGTGGAGATATGACCAGTCCCATGGATACATGTCAATGGGAATGAAAGCCAGGCCAACCATTATCCAATGTCTTAATTTTGACCCTTTTAATGGCTTCTCTTACCTTAGGTATCTTTGCAAAAAGGTGATGCCGAACTAAAGAGCACTGTTTCCTTAAGCTTAGTCATCTTCTTCCACAGTTAGGATCGCATTCCTCTTTATGCTTATTGGAGGGGTTTTTTCCTTGAAGGAATTTACTTATTGGGTTTGTTGGATACCTCATATCTACATTGAAGGAATTTACTTGTTACGTGACACCAAAATGCAGGCGCAAGAGGACAAGGATTGTTTGATTTGCCTGGCCACTTGTCTTGTCCTTCATGCATATGTTCATCAATCCGGAACAGAATGAAAAGAACATACAAATAGACAATCCGATTTAAGGTGGTAACCCTGAAACTCCAGGACTGATTCACGGAAGAGTTGAAAACTCTTTAGTTCACTGATCTTATTATGATTTTTTGATGATTTTCAGCTGCATCTACACTCATTATCTATATATATCAAGCTGATGCAGGGGCAAGAGGAAGAAAGAAACTATCGATCAAAACAAATCCAGCCGAACCCTATGTTACATGTGCTGCGTGTGTGGGTTACATAGGCCAAAGGTAATAAGGAATGAGCTACGATATTATATGTGAGTCTTGATTGATTTAACAGTCTTCCCCAAATTGATTGTCTATACATGTGCTGCGTGTGTGGGTTATATTGACTTAACAGTCTTCCCCAAATTGATATGAGTCACAATGGACATGACTTTTCTATTTATATCATCTTCAAATTACGGTTGTTAAATCGTGATCATTCTTGTCACTGAACTGGTGTGAGGATGGAATATGACATACGAAAATCAACCATTATGTTGTTCGGGAAATAACGTACATGTGCCCTTCTCAAACAAATGAACAATCATATATAAAGTTCTTGAAGTAGTGTGAAATTTTTCTTAGAATGTCCATTCTAATTGAAGTTTCTTAGTCGTAATGCTTGCTCGTAAAGATGATAGAAAATGAACAAGATTTGAGGACTAAGAGATAATTATGATGTTTGAGTGAATATAGCTAATCGGAGTGTTAATGTGAGTGAGTATAGAACAAAATGTTTCTGCACATATTGAAATGGGTTCGATGCGAATACCAAACTCATTATCCTCCTTGTCAAGCTCTAAATCTGCTTACATAATATCGGTTGAATTTTCTCTAAAAAACTATTTGAATTTTTTGATTGAGTTTAAGGGGTCGTTTGGAAGCTGAGATTCTTCAAATATGTGTATTTGATGAATACATCTATTGTAAATACAAAGATTGTAAGAATTAGATGATTGGAAGAATGTCTTGTTTGGTTGTAGCCATTCGAAAATTTTAAAGAAAAGAAAAATTCACTTTATGAGCTAAAAGTGAAACAAATTAAAGCCAACAATCTCAAAGGAAGAATCTCACCTTTTTGTTGAGATTTAAAATGAGTGATTGTGAGTGATATGAGATTTGAGGGCCCACCTCAAATGCATGTATTGAATAAAGTTTTGGAAAAAAAAAACGATGGATTCTCCAGAATACATGAATTCAAAGAATCATTCATCTAGAATCATAGCTTCCAAACAACCCGTAAGTATCCAGGAAGATAGAACGTTACGCCCCTAGAAGGCTTGTGATCCCCCTGAAGAAAAGCCTGGTCCGACTCTCTATCTTGGTAATTCAACTGGGCCGCCAAAGAAACGGGCTAACAAAATTAAATCGGCCCGCCAAGTCACACCAACGTCTAATGGGCCTGACCCAATCGAAAACAAGAGGGCAGCGCGTAGTCGAAGTCAACTTCGCACATCGCCGCACTTTAGCAAAGTGGAGGGCACACAGAAAGTCAGAGAGGAGGACAACGTCGGAAAAAACTAAAAACAATGCATAAAAACACGTGTAAAGCGGCGGCCAGTCTGTCGTACACTCTGGCAAATCGAGCAGATGTCAGCCACGTGGAGGTACAGGGTTGCGAATTTCCCCTTTCTTTAATGCGAGTTATTACAAAAAAAAAAAAAAGGGTTTTTCTTAAATTTAGGGCTTTAGGGTTTGGGAACAGTTACGCCCTTACTCTCTGCCTCCACCATTGTGACTCCTCCTGCAGGCTGCAGCAAGGCCTCGGTTTAAAAATTTTAAACCTTTCTCTTTGTTTTTAATCTTTATTCCCTTTACCTTGTTCCTCCTCTCGTTTTGGTGTTTTCTTCGCCAATATTTTTGGCGGCTAGGGTTTCGACTCTTCGCTCATTCAGACATTAACCATACTGTGTATATATACAGAGAGACTCATATATATAGATACACTCATTGATAGATTCATCCAGAAGTTGTGATCGAAGTTTTTGTTCGAGATTCAATTCAAAGTCGTGATTTTTCACCATTGGGTTTGCTTTGATTCTTTGTTTTGGGCCGAAATTTTCATCTGGGCAAAGGGCAGACCCTCCTGGTTTTTAAGCTTTCAACGTCTGATCAGTCTCTCAAGTAAGTCCCCTTATGCTTTCTTTATGAATTCAGATCGCCCTGTTATTGTTCTTTCACTTGGGAAAGATTTTCTAGGATGAAAGATTTTAGCTTCTTGAGTGATGATCATTGGTTAATTGTAAGCTTAATGGAGTTAATCTCTGTTTTTGTGTTGAATTAGTCTTGCTGAGTATTACTGATTGGTGATTACCTGTGTTTATTATTCATTGATAGGAGTTGGTTGAGGAATTGACTACCAACAGAATGAGTTACTCTGATTCTCAGCCTCATTTCCCACAGCAGTCCTATCAATCAGGCAGTGATGCAATTGGTATCTGGCCTCAATTCTCAACGAGCAGCAATGAACAATTCGACCCATCTTCGCCGTTTGAACAATTGCAACCCCACCAGCCTCCTTACAAACGGGCCAAGAGTTCTTCAGATGATGACAATGGGCAGCCTGTGAGCTCACGGATGCAGATGCCACCACCGAGCAACATCCCTATCAACCGAGGAACGACCAACATCTTTTTCAAGACTAGAATGTGTGCTAAGTTCAAGACTGGGACTTGTAGGAACGGCGAGAACTGCAATTTTGCTCATGGTATGCAGGATTTGAGGCAGCCTCCGCCCAATTGGCAAGAGCTTGTTGGGGTTAGTGGTGGTAGTGGTGGTGGGCGAGTTGAAGAGGATAATAGTAGGCAGCCACCGGTGGTGAATTGGGAGGATGACCAGAGGATAATTCATAAGATGAAGTTGTGTAAGAAGTTCTGTAATGGGGAGGAATGTCCATATGGGGACAGGTGCAATTTTCTGCACGAGGATCCTGCGAAGTTTAGGAGCGATGCTGGAGGGAGGTTTAGGGAGAGTGCTGCAATAAGCATTGGGACTACTGGGATGCCTATGATGAATGGAAGTGGTGGTGGTTATGCTTTTCCTGAAGCCATTAGGCCTGCTCAGAATGCTGCTGCTGCTGGTTCAGATGCGCTTAGGGCCATGATGATGAAGCCTGTGTACTGGAAGACGAAACTGTGCTCTAAATTTGAGATCACAGGTCATTGCCCCTTTGGTGAGAAATGCCACTTTGCTCATGGACTACCAGGTATTCAGTTTAGTTGATTGATTCTTGTGTCTTAACTCATAATATTTTTGCAGTTTGATAATTGTTTGTTATAATTGATCACCCCTTCTAGATTATTGTCTCTTTTCTCAATTGGGATGCTACTCATTTTGTGAAAAGGAAAGAAATGGGAGACCAACCTCTCTAGAGTTCATTTTCAAATACTTTCCATGAGAGCATCATTTTTATTCTTTCTGATCTACCTAAATACATCACAAGTGTTCATGTAAAACTATATTTTTGTTCAATTGCATGGTATTGCAAATTGCACTGTACCAAACACACACCCAGCCAACAACTTGTCGGTGAATTTGAAATCCAAATAGCTAGAGAAATGGGGTTTTATAAACTTGTAGGATTTTGGAGATGGACCAAACTAAAGGCTTCCTACATTCTTACCTATCAAGAACATGCTCTAGCTCAGATTCTTTCCACTTCTAGAAAATGTGATATCTTCTCCTTTCCAAATCAAATCTGGAAGTACTTTTGAGTCTCACCTCTGATTCTGTTCGTTGATGACTTGAGAGGAACGAATTGGTTGTTACCTTAAGTTAATACTGTGGCATTGTTCTGTTGAAAGCAGAGTTACAAGCTCATGGTGGACAGCTAGATGGGGAACCAGTGATTCAGGGCTCCATTTTAACGAGGCAATCGTCTGTTCTTGGCAACGGCAATCCATCCCCAAGCACTGTAGCAAACATGGCTAACTCCGTTGAAGACTCACAGGGTAGGAAGAAGTGCCTGCTCAAGTGGAAAGACCCAAAGAAACTGAACAATATTTATGGTGACTGGCTTGATGATCAGCCCTTAATACTGAACTTGACAAACGTGGAGAGCTGAGAGAGCTTTTTGATCTGATTTGCTTGCTTGCCTGCAATTTTGGAAGATTTTGATTCAGTATCATACTTGAGGTTCTTTCTACCAATGGCCATTAGGGAAGAGTTGTTTCTTTGTTTGTTCCGGCTAGATTAGAACTTCTATTTTCCTTTCCCTTCAAATTGAAGTGAAAGGAGAAGAAAGAGGAAGAAGAAGGGAGAGGAAGAGGAATTGCATTGATTCCTTTGTTTGTTTGTTTGTTCACTAGCTATATTTGTTTGATGTTATGCTGATGCAGGAATTTGCAGTCGGCCCCTTTTCAACGAAAGGGTTGAAATTGGCTTTACCATATTTTTCTTGTTTGGTGTCTCTCATTGTTTTTCACTTTTGACATGCAGAAATTGCAAAAACTGGCTAATTTCTGCGCTGTGTAACTAGTTCGTATTAGTGAAATTGGTCTTGTGATGACATTGCCGAATGTATACTTGCATACATGATTTTGTTTCTAAAAGGGGAAAAAACACGATGGGCAGACTGCTAATCACTCTCGTACTCTGTTCTAACGAGGTCATCAAACTGTTGCATGGCCAAACCTTTGACCATAATTTCTCGTGCAATGTCCATTTATGCTAGGATGAGTCGGAGAGCGGCTTTAGTCGTGGTAGTAGACTAATCGATCTTATCACGATTTTTATTTTTATTTCCGAGTGATATCCAGAGAGTTCAAGAGTTATATAGACAAATTTATCCAGGAATCCCTCTATAAGCTACATCCTAGTGAAGCCATCCAAAAATTTAAAGACTCTAACTCTAAAAGAGGCAAAAATCGAAAGACTCTAAATTTGGCGGCTCTGGGAACCGCTCTAAACTCTATACAAACTGACAAAGAGTCTAAAATCTAATGACACTTGCGAAGCATCGGACCTCCAAATGAACCTTCTAGGACACCTTGTCGGATCTGGTTGATGACCACTTCGGAATCACCTTCCAATATCACGATTTTCTAAATTATGGTTCTTTGTAGAGACCATTAAGTAATATTGAAAAGCAAAATCAAGCATTCAATTTTCTGAAAGTCCAAATAATCCAATGGTGAGGTCTAAATGTTGGTGTCATCTATTGCTGAATGAACGGGATTTAGGCTATGGAAAAGGAAAATTCCATGAGGCATTTGAAGTTTTGGATGATTGACTTCGGAGGGAGGAACCGTAAATCTAAAGATTTCACCCACAAGACAGGGACAGATGCCCGCAAACCTACCCGCCTTCCTGAGTCACCACCAGGATAACCAAACAAAGCTCCAACCTTTTTCTTCCACGTTCAACCCAAAAGCCACCAATGGCTCAGCCATTTATAACTGAGCCATGCTTCTTTCCATCTTCTCTTCTTCTGTAACCAACTCTGCTCTCATTTCCTCCCTTCTGCTAACCCCTCGACGAACTTCCCCTGCTTCTCCCTTCTTTCTCAGAAAAGTCATAACCAGAGCTATCTCCTTCTGCATCACAACTTCCACCATGTCCGTTAACTTGCAAGCCCATGCCTTCGCCGGCAACCCTCTGAGATCCACTATTCCCAAGCCCGGCGACCCGTTTTCCCCATCCTCTGCCCTCGAAACCCTCAGGAGCCGGCTCATGGAGAGTACCAGTAGCAACCAGTTGATTTCTCCAAGTTTCCAAGTTTTGCCCTTCAGGAAGGGCCGGCCTCTGGCTTCTTCCGTCGATGGGGACGGCGGCGATGCTTCGGGGCCAAATTGGCATCTGGGATGGATTGGTCTTGCTGATTGCAGAGGGTATCTGGCTAAGTCTGGAGTTGAATTGACCGCCGAGAGCTTGGTGTTTCTGGGTTTCATGCCCGATGAGGATGTAGTTTACTGGGCAATTGATGTTTCTAGTGAGAATAGTTTGGTTCCTGAATTGGGTGGGAAACGACTATGTTTTGTGGAGTTGAGAACTCTTATGGTGGCTGCTGATTGGACTGATGATCGCGCCATGGCGGATTTGGCCATTGCTGGTCATGTAAGTGTTTTCTAATTCTCTCTGTTGCAGTAGGTTGGTATGAACTCTAGTGAATCTTCTTTTGTAGGATTCCTAAGGGGATATTAATTAGTTTGTCTATTGCTGATGATGCGTGGTAAAGCGGAAAGGATGAACTTGTGAATGGATGATTTTGAATCATTCGGTGTCATTTTTTCATCCTGAACTTCAGTGAGATATTCTGCTGTGCCTGAGTAGATTTTTACAGATATTTCTTGGCTGCTTGGTTTCTCTTGTTTAGGCAAGAGCATTGCTAGAATGGCATAAGCTAAGTCGTTTCTGTGGATCTTGTGGAGCAAATACTGTCCCTGCCGAAGCTGGCAGAAGGAAACAATGCTCGAATGAGACTTGTAAGGCGAGAGTCTATCCTCGTATTGATCCGGTAATTTTCATGCTTTCATTCTCTTTCTGTGATTGGTGATTCGCTTTGCTTAATGAGTGCATAGCCGTCTTCTAAGCCTTCTTGGCTGACTCTTATATAGGTTGTGATCATGTTGGTTATTGACAAAGAGAATGATCGAGTACTTTTGAGCAGACAATCGAGATTTGTACCTCGAATGTGGAGTTGCTTAGCTGGTTTTATAGAGGTGCGAGGACCACAAGTCTGAAATTGTTACCTTTTCGTGTAATCTAGTTGTTTAGCTTGACTTGTATTTGTGGTAACTCTTGTTCAGCCTGGAGAAAGCTTAGAAGAGGCTGTGAGGAGAGAAACTTTTGAAGAGGCTGGAATTGAAGTAGGAGAAGTTGTCTATCATAGCTCTCAGCCATGGCCTGGTATCTTTTCTTCCATTGCTTAAATCGTTGCCTGTTATTGTATCACGGTTGTAGAAAGATAGGAACGTAGAAGGAAACATGACTATTCTTGCTTCTGAACATAAAGAACTAGGCAACCTTTCATAAGTGCCGTTATGTCAAAATCCTACCATTGTTAAGAGCTATATTCCCTGCCATTGATTTGAAACTGTATGGATGCATAAAGTTGGCACCTCTCTGCTCTCTGTAGGCTGCTAATGTTTTATTGCTTTCGCTGTTTCTTTTTCAGTTGGCCCAAACAGCATGCCATGCCAACTGATGGTCGGTTTCTTTGCTTATGCAAAGACGCTGGAAATCAATGTCGACAAAACCGAGTTAGAAGGTAATCAAAAACCTATTTCGTGCTCTTCTTCATTCACCCTTGCTCTTCCCTCGTGAAAGAAAGAAAGCTCACATGCTGCTTATATGTAGATGGAATCTTTCTGGATGGTCAACAGATGCTTATATATTGCTTTGAAATGAGGATGATATTGAATCTTCCCATGTGGCTGTGCAGATGCGGAATGGCACAGCCGAGAAGAAGTACAGAAAGCACTGTCTTTAGCAGAGTACAAGAAGGCACAAACCACAGCAGCAGCCAAAGTAGAGCAGATGTGCAAGGGCGTCGAAAAAGGTCAGAGCTTGTCTGCAGATTTCAACGTCGAAAGCGGTGAACTTGCTCCAATGTTCTTCCCTGGCCCTTTCGCAATTGCTCATCACCTCATCTCTTCGTGGGTCAATGGCAAGTCAACCATCGGTGTTGGTGGGAGACAACCCAGTACTTCTCTCTCAAATCTATAGCGCCCTTCTTCTCATCATTCCCAGAAACCCATTATCGTTTGTGCAAATAATGTTTTGCAAAAGAGCAGATTGTATCAGCACCCTTTTATTTTCGATTCGGGATGATGCTTCTGGAACAATGGCTTCGAGTGTATTTGATTGATGGATTGTACCAACTGTCATCAACCAACTGAATCAAAACAGTCTATGTATGTTTGTATGTTCATTCATATAGCAAAGATGGATTGTACCAACTGTGAAATATTCTACGTTATGCTCCTTTTTACTCTGAACTTGCTCCCCTAACCGGATCATGGTTATTGGTTATCTCTAATAAGAGAGTTTTGCTGGAAACCAGGAATATCAGGAGGTGGTGCCTCAGAAGCCAGAAGGCTTAATCGATTTAGTCCAGTGTCTTAAAAAAATCTTTATGTCGTTTTGATAATGGGTCGGGGATATTGACATGGGACGGTTACTATGACAACACCCCTTGTGTTGTTATTGTAACAACGCTAGTCTAACCAATAGGAAGTTAGGATTGTGATGACTTTTTATTAGATGAGTTGACCTAGTATAAAATCAAAACAGAGGTATAATTGTCATTATGAAAAATCTGTTTAAATAATAAAATAAAAAAATAAAAAAAATTATTTTTTTTGTTTTCTGCCCAAAACTTCGGTCGCCGGAATTCTGCCACCGCTCGCCGGAAACTGGTCGCCGGTCACCGGAATATGCTTTTCGTCGCCGGAATACGCTTTTTTGTCATCGGAATATGCCACCATCGTCGGAATATGCTCACGTGGTCGGAATATGCTTACCGGCGTCGGAATCTAGTCATCGGCGCCGGAATATGCCTATCGGCGCCGGAATCCGGTCACTGACGGTCGTCAGAGTTTGGTCAACGAAACTCGTTGACTAGTCAACGGTCAACGACCACCGGATATAATAGTTTCCATTGTGAGATTTATGGTTTGGTTTCTTGTGTTTTTTATGCTATTTGTGGTTTGTTTTATTGTGTTTGTGGTTTACATTGAGAAGTTTCTGGTTTGCTTTCAAAAATTTTGAGGTTTGCATTGTGAGATTTCTGGTTTGTTTTACTATATTTGTGGTCTGCATTAGGACGTTTATGGTTTGCTTTTTTGTGGTTTGATTTACTGTGTTTGTGGTTTGCATTATGAGGTTACTGGTGTGCTTTCGCAAATGTTGTGGTTTGCATTGTGGGGTTTCTAGTTTGTTTTAGGAGATTTGCGATTTGCATTAGGAGGTTTCTAGTTTGCATTAAGAAGTTTCTGGTGTGCTTTCGAAAGTTTTGTGGTTTGATTTGCGAGGTTTCTGGTTTGTTTTAATATATTTATGGTCTGCATTTGGACGTTTTTTGTTTGCTTTACCATGTTTGTGGTTTGCATTAGGGGGTTTCTGATGTGCTTTTCAAAATATTTATGGTTTGCTTTGTAAGGTTTCTGGTATGTTTTAGCAAATTTGTGGTTTGCATTAGGAGGTTTCCGGTATATTTTCTTGAGACACCCTGCACGAAACAAACCAGACCAAAAGAGAAAGAAAAGAACATCAGGTTCTCCTAGCACCGAAATGCAAACTCCCATTGTTCCACCCCCATCACTTGTGGACATACATGATAACAAAAAATGCTAAACAGAAAAGTAGTTGCATGACAAAATTAAAGCGATAGCACAACTCTACATGCCTTCCCGCCCAAGATGTAGCCTACAACATAATGGAACTTCCACAAACTTAATAAACTAACTTGATCCACCGCCAAAACAACCGCATTCAGATTTCAGTTGTGGCCATTATCCAAGAATGATGAGTAAATAGAGATACCATAATCAAATGGAAGTTCAGCGTATGGACTTAGCTTTACTTTTATATCACAGAAATCTCCACAATGGTACAGAAAACAAGCTGAAAAAGACTCATCCAGGAATAGCAATCCATAAGTCAAAACTGACAAAGCGGTAGTCAACTCAAAACTGTGGTCGGTAGCCAAATAAACAGTACAGCTGACATCGCAACAAGCCATAAACCGCAACACTGAACCTTTCCATTCCTTTCCCTGATGACTCCGCTATCAATCGAAAGATTTTTCTCTCTAGGATTCTTCCAACAAGAAAGAACTAATGCATCTCCAGCTTCTGCTCCATCGAATCTCTTATCGGATCCGCTGCTTCCACGCCGCCGCAACATCCGACGAACTCATCTCGATTATCGAGGAAGCCAATCCGTTGGAGCCGGAGCTGGACGCCATGGTCCCTTTCCTCTCCCCGCCGCTGTCGCTTCCGTCATCCAACAGACGCCCAATCCGCAGCTGGCGCCGGCGTCGGAAGAAAGAAGAACCGAGAGGAGGACTGGCAACCCCGGCGGAGGAAGAAAGAAGGAACGGAGGGGGATGGAGGCCTCAATCGTAGCCGCCAGATACATCGCGGTTCTAATCTAGCTGTTTGCCTGAGATTAGAGGAAGGTCGACGCCTCTACCGTCAGAGTCGACAGCAGGGGTGTTCCTGCCGGTGATGGAGGCGAGCGTATCGGAGGAGATGCAGTCGTTGGGGTATGGTATCGGAGGAGATCGAGAGAGACAGGTAGGGATTGAAAATTTTAGTTCTCAATTGTAATTTATTAATTTCTGTTAGTTTTCCCTTTTTACCCCTGATGTTACTATAACAACACAAGGGTCGAGGAGTGTTGTTATACTATCCGGGTCCCTTGACATGAGTACCTAATAAGCTCATGAGATCCGATGACCCTGAATTTTTGGTATTGTCAATTAGTAGCATGACCTTATAAATTATAACACACCGTGTCAAGTTTCATACTTTATCACTTGACTTATAAGTTACTCATTTATTTTCCAAATATTTCGATCATCTTTTTTTTACAATAAATATTTCGATCATCTTATTGTTAATGTACAATGTGAAATTAAAAATAGGTTATTTCTTGTGTTGCTATATTAAAAAGACCGGTAGGTGTGTCTGGACAAAGCTGCTCTACAACAATGTGTTATACAACAATTTTATGTGTTCTACACTAATGATTCTAATGCGTACATTTTAATTATTATTGAAATATATGATTCATTTTTATGAATTTCATACCTCAATAAAATATACCGGGGATTATGTCAATAGCCTTTTCTCTTTAGTAAATCATAAATCCCATGCCCCAAAATTTTATGATATTGGGGCGGGAATCATTGTTATGATAAGATTTGATTGAATGTAGGGCTGCAAATGAGTCGAGCTAAACCGAGTTTTACCCCAGTTTGAGCTTGACTCGTTAATAAATCTTATATTATAATTTTTAGGTTGCATATTGTTTAGCTAATAAATTGTAACTAGTTCAAATCATGTTATTTCATAGTATCGAAATAATTTTGTACATAATTTTTTTATAGAATTAAAAATAAGGCATATTTTCTTACATGTTCAACATGTTAAACTTCACATGATGTGAGATATATAATTTAACAATCCTATGAATTATGAAAGTCCAAATTAGATCGATTCGTCCATAAGTTGGTGATCAAGTCGACCCTCAAACCACAATGTTGAGACATCTCATGAGCTCTAAATGAGCCAACTCACGAGTTGAGCTCAACAAGCCACCGAGTCGAGCTAGCTCGCGAGCTGAACAAAGCTAAGCTCAAGCTTGGCTCGTTAGTAAACGAGTCGAATTTCGAACGAATTTTTTCCAATTCGAGCCTCGAGTTGCTTGGCTCATTTGCAGCCCTAATTGCATGTGGATTTCATTCACAACCAATCTATCTACACATAATATAATATGCCGAAGGGAAAAACGGGAGCACCATTTCAAATTTCCTGGGATTCGAACCATGACCATTTTAAAGAAAAGCAAGGATCATAACCAATCACACTAAGTACATTCGTTGTATCTTTTTAAATTAAAAACATATAATAGCAGGGAGAAAAAAAACACTTCCCCCATTTCAAATTTCCTGCTCCATGAGCGTTTGTAGGAAAGGTAGAATAGAGAGTGTCAATTTTTTTCTCTTTCCTCTGTGGAACGGGCCAACTTACCGTACACATGCGGATTTAAACGGGTCCAGGATTGTCAATTTTTTTCTTTAAGCCCTTTTATTTCTACATGGTGATAAAATATATATGAAAAGGCAAAAATAATACTTCTTTTTATTGCTAAAAATAAAAAATTTAACAATAAACTAATGCATCATATTTAATGGGCTAACCGCTAACCATAAAATAAAAGAGTTGAATAGGTCTGACCTACACGAGATTTGGCCATCAAGTAAAACAAATGAACATCATTGGTTTCACATTCTAAAACAAGCTATTTTATTTGCCATAATATATATTATGATATTATTTTATATCTTAGTGGCTAAAATATAATGTATTTTAAAGTTATTCAATGGTTCAACCTCGACCAACCCAATTAGTCCAATTTTAATCATTTCAAATATATATTATATAATTATTTGATATCATAATGATCAAATTATAGTGTATTTTATAGGGAATCGTTTGGTATTTGTTAGTAAAAAACTAAACAGAAATATCTATTTGGTTATTTTAAACATTAAAACGATCCTAAACATTTTCAGTTCCTTTTGAATTTCTATTGTTTTATTCCCATATAAGTGATTTGCAAATGGCGAACTGCAGTCATCTCTTTTCTTTCACTATTTTTTATTTTCTAATAGAAAGTTTAAAAGTAAAGAATAATTAGAAGTTGGCATGAGTCGGTCAAACAAGCAGAATTTCAAGTTTTTGCCCATTTTGATCAAGTCTAATTTATAATTACATGGTTCCCTGATACCCGACAAAAATCTCAATCCAAACCAGCTTGGCAGGTGAGTCCGTGTTTACCACCATTTTCTAGGGATACGACAACGGCGGTTCCTATCCCAAATCGTGTTGTTCGTTCTTGATTTCCTTAGATTTTATCATGGTCTGACAAAAACCAGAAAGCACAATGACGACAAGATGAAAGTTTTATAAAGCAAATTAATCGGCCAACGGGCCGAGTAAAAGCTAGCAACGATTGTGAGATGCTCATTTCCCGAAAACCGACGGGATAGGCGAATTTTTATTCGATTTTCTGGAATTCGGTTTCTATAAAACTTACTCTACCTCATCATATTACCAGAAACAATATTGTTTCATAAGGTAACATGTACTTGATTTTGGTTCGTAAGACCATTTTTTATTCGTTGCATCATTCATGTCTGTTTCCTGCTAAAATTCACTATTTTAATCACTGTGTTTCCCAAAAAAACTATACAACAATAAGCTATACACCTCATTACATTATCAAATTTCATACCTCATCTTCCTCCGGCCAACTGGTCGAACCCAAGCTAGTATATATATATAGATAGATAAATTTTAATTTGCAAAACCTTTTTATAGCTAAACCAGTCTGTTTGTAGGCCGAATGTTAGAAATGCCAAAAAGCTCAAACCGTTCTTCAATCGATACGGGCTTGGCCTTTTAAGTGTGCTCCCACACGCTAATACTCGTGGGCGCGGCCGCAGCTTATTATTATCTCAAACGCCGACTCTGTAGTAGTAGTAGCCAGTAGGAAGAGTGAGAGTGACTGACTGAGCAAGAAAGAAGAAGCACCGTTCGTGGCCAGTGATTTCTGCATTTCATTCCCGTTGCTGTTCATTTCCGATCTCAGGAAAATGTCTGCGATCTTCCGTCGACTGGCTTCGAAATCCGCCAACCCTACTCCGGCGTCGTCTCCTGGTGGCGGAGGAGGAAGATCACTCTTCAAGCGACTCCGTCTCCCCATCGGCGTTGCGGTTGCTGCTGCGACTGGAGTAGCCTACTTCTGCTACGACGACACTCCGATTACAGTTCATGGACTGGTTGAGGTATGTATCTGTGATAATCGGAGCTTTCATGTTAGAGATTCGGACTCGTAGGTGCTCTGAATTTTGAACCGGTAGTCGTTGATTTGTTCGTCGAGCTGTTCTGTGGTTGCTCGATTGAAATACTTCGAGGTTTCGAGAGATTCGTCTTCTGGATCGTTCTTAGGGTTTTATAGATGAAATGTTTTGGTGGAACTTACTCTTGATCTTGAGGCTGTTCTCGAAGCTCTGGTTTATTCGGTTTTGCCTTCTGAATCGGGAACTAACGCCGTTGATGCTGTGAATTTTGAATCGGTAATCGTTGATTTGTGCGTAGAGCTATTCTGTGGTTGCTTGATTGAAATACTTGGAGCTTTCTGAGAGATTCGACTTCTGGATCATTCTTTCTTAGGGTTTATAGTGAAATGTTTTGCTGGAACTTACTCTTGATCTTGCGGCTGTTCTCGAAGCTATGATTTATTCGGTTCTGCCTTCTGAATCGGGAACTAACGCCTTCGCAATTTGCTCTAGGTTCACCTGAAGGAACCAAGCGAAGAGAATGCTCCGCAAGTTGGTAAGCCTCCTTCTCCTTCTGGTTTGTTGTCTGTTTCTGACCTCAAGTAGTGAATTAGGGTAGCTCACTGTGCGGATTGCTTGTTTATTATTCTCGTTTTCAGTTCTCGATCCGAAGAAGCAGACTGAATTCAAGCTTCAAGACACTGCAACTGCTAGTCACAGCATTGATTTGTACAGGTATGTCCAATGACCATATCAACGTCAATAGTACCTTCTCCGTAACATCGTATCATCTGGCCCATCATATGTAATATCGGTATAGCATACGTATTAAGGACTTTCAGTTCTTTGATAATGTGAATAGGCAAGTAGCATCTTCAGTTTAAGTTTAGTTTGATCACTGTGGGAGTGTGGGTAGCTTTTAATCTGTTTGCCTCTTGCTGTAATGGCAGGCTTACTGTGGATTACTCTAAGAAGCATGGTTTGAAAGTTGATGCATCCCCCATTGAAAGGTAAATAGCATAACGTGTACAACACAGCATTGTGTCACATTATACTTGTTCTTCCTTTAGAATCCTGATGACAGTACTTTGCAGTTAGAATTTTTTCAGCACTGCTGGATTTGTACGTTGTTTTTGGCTAAACAGTAGAGCCTATCTATGTGCAGGAACCCTCTAAGCTCAGATCCAGCAGTTGAGGAAGACTATGGGTTATTGATCAAGGTATATGTCTGCAGCTAAAGACTGGGATTTACTTTTCAATCGTTTGGCTTCTACGAATTCATTCTTTTAAAAGGCCATTGAAGCCCTTGCGCTGAGTGAGTTGATTCTCATATTTGGGAAACATTGTTGCAGCTTTTTCCTGGTGCGGAGATGAGTCGGCGTATTGCTAGCTGGAAGTCTGCTCAAGCTGTGGAGGCGAAAGGGTAGGTTCTTTGAAAATCACGGTCACGTTGGAGAAGATTAAAAATCTGCAGTCACTTACTACCATCGCTGTTATTGTCTCGCTGCAGGGAAATTGAGGAGTGATATACACTCCAACGTCGAATCAGTACACGAGCATATGATATAATCCGCGGGAAATGTAGGGAGTGAAGGTATAGAGAGTTTTTTTTAGAACAGTGCGTGATGATACTTCAAAATGAAGAGGAGGGAAAGAGTTGTTTTACTTTGAAGAAGGCTTTATGTAGGCACGGATTTAAACCCTTTTCATTGCAAACATGGAACACTCCATGTTTGCAAAACCATTTAAGAGCTAATCCTTAGGTAATGGGCTGAGTTTGAACCCAACCCACTGTTAGACGTAAGAATGTGCGAAAACCCAATTCGATCTTCGACACTCTACAGCTTACAAAAAACCAGCAGGCACCCACTAATCTGCACTCCATCTTGGTGAGACTCCAGCTCAGCATGTTTCCATTTCTTTTTGCATATCTAAGACTAAGAGGCGAAGGTGGAAGTGGATAAGAGAACCATAAGTTTCAGGAGGTGAGAAGAATTATTGGCATTGTTTCTTCCGGCCCAAGAAACCTTAGAACTTTTGTTGAAGAGCGAGTGTCTTCTGGATGGTTAGAGTTTTATACTACTAGCTAAGGCTTAGTGATATATATATATATATATATCATAAACACTCGAGACGGATTTCCCTACTCGCACAATCTGAAGTCTGCTTAATAACTTGTGAACGAAGTATAACTTCAATGCCTGTTTTTGTCTGTTCGTTTGTTGGAGATTTACAGTCTGCAATGGCCTCTTCAATGATCTTTTAGACCCTACTGTGGGCAAAAGTCGGATTTCCCTCCGGTTGCCGGAAGAACTGTGGGCAAAAGTCGCGTCGTGGCTGCCGATCGAAGATGCGGCGAGAACCAGCGCGCTCTCGAAGAAATGGCGGGATCAGTGGAGAGCAACCCCGAACCGCCACTTCGACGACGGCCGCACCGAATTCAGCAGATTTGGCTGCCCTGTCTCGCGGTTCGGCTGCCTCGACGAATTCTTGAGCTGGGTGGAACAGATTGTCATCCAAATCGAGGAGAGCAGCGAGGATTGGGGATCGATTTTCATCGAATCATTGGGTATCAATTTTCTCCATGGGGATTTCGAGTACGGGTGGGTAGAACTCAACGAGGACGATTTCCCAGGGATGGCCGGGTAAAGGTAGTATCATTCACGAACCCTAGCTCTGGCTCTGGCTGTGGCTGCGGCTGCGGCTGCAGTCACCGCCGCCTCCTCCTCCTCCTCGGCGATGTATTCTCGAGGTCGCCGTGGCGGGGCTACTTGCTCCAACACTTGACGCTGCAGAACTGCGACATGGAAACCGTAAAGAACCACCTAATCGACGGCGGTAAAGGGTTTGTGCTAGATTTGTTATTTTTAAACACAAATGATATTTTGAACTTTCTACTGGAATTCGCGCTAAGTTCTATGGTGAGTTGTAAAAGTATAAAAGATTTAAATTTTTTGTTAATTTCAATTTGCTTCGTGGAGATGGAAAGGGAGTGGATTAATCTCAATGCTCTAGTAAGTAACTAGCTTGTAACCCGACCCGTTGGTTGGAGGAGCTGAGCCGAATATTGAATTATTGGGATAACCCGTAGATTCAACCATTAAGCTAAATTGGTCTAATGGTGAGTACCGCCTAGCATATCCCTAATAATCATACCAAAGTGAATATATTTGAACATAAACAGTACATCAAAAGTTGGTACAACCATGAAGTTAGACCATTAAAAACATACCAATGAAATTGAATAGCATCGAAAAACTTCAACTTCATTATATAATTACATGAGATCAGAAAGAGAACACCATTAATTTGATTTATAAAACTTTCATCTTGTCGTCATTGTGCTTTCTGGTTTTTGTCAGGCCATGATAAAATCTAAGGAAATCAAGAACGAACAACACGATTTGGGATAGGAACCGCTGTTGTCGTATTCCTAGAGAATGGGGGTAAACACGGACTCACCTGCCAAACTGGTTTGGATTGAGATTTTTATCGGGTATCAGGGAACCATGTGATTATAAATTAGACTTGATCAAAACGGGCCAAAACTCAAAATTCAGCCTGTTTGACCGACCCATGCAAAATTCTAATTATTCGTTACTTTTAAACTTTCTATTTGAAAATAAAAAATAGTGAAAGAAAATAGATGACTGCAATTCGCCATTTGCACATCACTTATTCGGGAATAAAACCATAGAAATTCAAAAGAAACTGAAAATGTTTAGGATCATTTTAATGTTTAAAATAACCAAATAGATCTTTCTGTTTAGTTTTTTACTAACAAATACCAAGCGATTCCCTATAAAATACACTATAATTTTATCATTATGATATCAAATAATTATATAATATATTTGAAATGATAGAAATTGGACTAATTGGGTTGGTCGAGGTTGAACCATTGAATAACTTTAAACTACATTATATTTTAGCCACTAAGATATAAAATAATATAATAATATATATTATGCTAGAGAAAATAGCTTGTTTTAGAATGTCAAACCAATGATGTTCATTTGTTTTTACTTGATGGCCAAATCTGGTGTAGGTCAGGCCCATTCTACTCTTTTATTTTATGGTTAGCGGTTAGCCCATTGAATACCATGTATTAGTTTATTGTTAAATTTTTTTATTTTTAGCATAAAAAGAAGTATTGTTTTTGCTTTTTCATATATATTTTATCACCACGGAGAAATACAAGGGCTTAAAAAAAAAATTGACACTCCTGAACCCGTTTAAATCCGCATGTGTACGGTAAGTTGGCCCGTTCCACAGAAGAAAGAGAAAAAAATTAACACTACCTATTCTACCCTTCCTACAAACGCTCATGGAGCAGGGAATTTGAAATGGGGGAAGGGGTTTTTCCTCCCTGCTATTATATGTTTTTGATTTAAAAAGATACAACAAATGTACTTAGTGTGATTGGTTATGTTCCTTGCTTTTCTTTAAAATGGACATGGTTCGAATCCCAGTATGTGTCTTTTTAATGAATAAAAAAAAGTAATTGTGAAGACCAAAATGTCCTTCCTACTTTCACTCTCGTTGCAGGAAATTTGAAATGGGGCTCCCGTTTTTTCCTTCGGTGTATTATATTATGTGTAGATATATGCAGGATGCACTAGAATTATGATTAGAATAGTATAATATTCAATGAAAAAATTGTGATAATCAAGTTCCGAAAAATATAATGAAGTAACTAAACAAGTTTTCATTTTCAATTCTCAGCTAAATAAGTTTTCTGCAAGTTTTGTTTCTTTAAAAGCAACAGCTTCATTTTCATTTTTAGATATTTTTTATTGTGACAGCAACGCAAAACGAAATGGCAAAATAACTATGTTTTTTGTTTTCAATTTCATATAGTCTGTTAACGGTTAACCGAATAACTTAAACAAGTGATTCGGTAAGATCATACCAAAATAGCGCATCGATAACCTATCCAACAGAAGACGTCCTCCTTTTCTCAATTGCGCATTTTCATAAATTTTTCTTACATATTTACGTGTTCTTTTTTAAGTTTTTATCGTATAACAAAAAAATAATTTAACCTAGTTTTCAATCCATAATAAACTTAATCCAACAAAAGTGTACAATATTTTATTAAAAGAAGTGTTAAGAATAAGAGACCCAATAAAAAATATTTATCTCATAAACTCCATCAAATTACGTGAAAGTTTAAATCTTGTTGATTGTTGTCGTGCTAATCTGCTTAAGTCCATCTTTCTAAAGCCCTTCTCTAAATGATTCTCAATTCTCATTTGAACCTGAGACAATATTACAATTATGCTAGGCGAGAGATTTTATAAGTCGTCAAACATCCATTATTTTCGGCCTATATTCAAACATCATATATATAAATTAATAAAGTATTTAACCCTTGACATAATACATGGAAGTAACTTATCTTGCAATCATTAGAAGTAGGCCACCTAGCAAAAGTATATACAGACTATTTGGGTAAAGAATTGAGTGTGTTTGTGTGAATAGTCTCTTAGTAGTTATCAGAGGTTTAAAAACCCTTCTTTTGAGTTTTTTATTCAACATAATGCATGAGCTTTATTTAAATTAAATATAAAATTATGAGCTTTACTAGTTTGATGTTCGAAAGAGAGGAGAGTTACTCTTGTGGTTAGAGCTGGGAAAATAGACCAGACCGTTAGAAAAACCGTGGTCCAAACCGTACAACATAGTTTGGCCTGGATCGTACACCATTAAATATGGTCTGGTCTGGTCCATGGTCTGTATTATTTTATGTTTTGATCTCTTGGTCTGGTCTGATCTAGACCGCGGTTTACCGGACCAAACCGTGGACCCAGCCGACTTGTTAATACTTGTTAATAGCCCATTCGATCACTCTCCCAACTCCCACAACGACACCCAAGCCTCAACCTTAATTTTGAGAATCTCGTCTCTCCTTCATTCACAACCACATTTAACCAGAGAGTAGAGATAATCATGTCTACATATGACATTATGTTAATGTTTATAACGTTATGGTGCAAGTTGGGATACTTTTACTTTGTATCTTTGTTATGTACTAAGATTTAGGGTATCACAATTATTCATGCATGTTAAGATTAATGTTTTAAGGCAAATAACAATTATTTTTCTTGGTTATTGGTTCAATTTTTTGTGTGGTTGACTACACAAATTATTCATTTTTCGTTGAGTGTGGTCTATCTGGACCAGACCCGTCCAAACCAGACCGCACAGGCGTGGTCTAGACCGGACCGTATAGTCTGCGGTCTGGTCTGTGATCTATACTTCAGCCTCTCGGTCTGGACCATAGACCGTATATATGGTCTGGACCAGACCGCAACGTTTCTCAGCCCTATTTGTGGTTATGCAAAATATTAACTGTAGAGTATATAATGTATTAGATATATGAGTAACTGTAGTGATGGCAATGGGGTATCTCAACCTACATGCCCTCGACCCATCTTACATACTTATTTTTTAGTTTTTACGATAAAACGAAGGGGAAAATATTTTATGAAAGAAAAATAGTGATAATAGAACGAGTAATTAAGTTTAACTAGTTGAAAAGTAAAGTCTAACTAGTTATAGAAAAGTCAAAATACGAGAAATATGAATAGATATTGTAAGTACTAAGTATTTGAGGTAAGATGAGCCATGAAGGGGTAATATCCACCACATCGTGGGTTAGGTCGAGTAATACCCGCGGGGCGGGTTCAAATTGACATCACTAACTAACTCTCTAATTTGCTCATTGGGGTAAGAAACAAAATAAAACAACCTAAACCGAACAAATTTAAGAAAATTAGTTAAATGAAACCAATTATCCGATTAACGAAATAAATACTGAATCGCTATTTGTCATCCTAAAATTCAAATTTTGTCGCCCTAAAATGCACCAAATTGACAATCTTACCCTTTGACCCCAATTTCTAACCAACCCGTCGCCGCCGACCTCAACCAGGACGTTGCTGTCGCTGTGGGATTCTTCTCACTGGTTGCTGCCCACCTCAACCTAACTGCCGCTGGTGCTCTGCTTCTACCGCTAGAGTCGATGGGATGATGGTAGAGCTATCATGTTTGGGGAGCTGGGAGTATCGAGATAGGAATTGGATAGTGAAAATTGTGGTTGAGGCTTCAAATAAGAAAACAGCTGAACTTTATTGGTGGGAGAGCTTTGCGGGGATACGAATCTTGTAGATGTGAATAAAGTGTAGGCGACGATAATAAACCTGCTATAGGGACGATGACTGTAGACGAACACGAAGGAGAAATGAGGTTTTAGGGGTTTTTTGTTTTGTTTCTAGGCGCCGGACGGGTGGGTTGAAACTAGGGGTGAACAAACTCACCCGCAAACCGATCCACCCGTCCAACTCGACCCAATTCACCTGTATTTATCGCTAAAACGAAGGTTTTGGGTTGGGTGAGGGTTTTATTTTGTACAACCCGCCTCTTTTGGGTTGGGTTTGGATTTTGGATTACACAACCCGTAGAACACGACCCAACCCCTGTTCCAACTATTAGTATGAGTTCGTATCTAAAAAATATTTATGTCGTATATAGCCATACTTATGAGAAAATTAAGATATTTCGCCATGTTTTTCTCTCATGGTCTCCATAATCTGATGCATTCATCGACTTAAAGTTTAGACATAAATTGAATATAGTTACGATTCATGTAATCCTTTTTCTTGTGTAATATTTTAATAGAATAACATATTATGATTTAATAAATAATTTAGCGTATTTCAACAAATATCAGAAGGGAGAAGGGCGAAGGGAGACCTAAAACAATAGCTTTTTTCAGTGAAAAAACTAGAAATATGTTGAAGTAAATCACATTTTATTAAAATTCAAACAACATTTGTGAATTTTGATAACTTTCACCTCGGTTTATTCATTTGAAATTTTAATTAGTTATAAAATATTTTTATGATGTAGAATAATTATATATTTTATGTTGGGTTGGGTTTTTACTTAAA